TTTTTCAATGAGGATTTTTTCGCGCAGGACCGTACTCCATTTATTAATTTTATAAAGATGCTTCTCTATATTGCCCGATAACCCATTGATAAAGTGGAGTATATAAGACACAAATCAGTTTACAAATAAATGTTACATTGTAGTCCAAATTGTAAGAGTTTCATTTAAAATGCAAATTTAAAAGATTTAACAAAGTTGCAGAAATAAGTTTTCTGTAGTATTGCACGAACGAATAAATTAATCCACAAAGATTTAAGAATGTTTTGAATTCTAATAAATAGTGCTCGGTATTTTCTCTTTCAGATATCTAGTGGAGTTTTCCCGAAGGATTACCGATATTTTTCAAACGAGGAAAGACCCAAAATTCTCGGTATATTTTCGGACAAGAGCGTTACGCCAATGTTTAATGTGGAAATTGCGTTCGGTTGAATAACATCGGATTTTCTTTAAGCCCTCTCTATGCGCTTTTACTAATCATAGTAGTACTCAGAGATAACAATCTAACGACATTGTGTTCCAGTTTCCCCGTTCCCGGTTCATTCCTAACGAATAACGACAAATCTCGTCTCGTTTCTATAGCGGTTCGATGAAAAATGTCTATTTTCCCCCGAAGTAAAACGGAAATTCTTTTTTTTTCCAACGATGACATATCACAATGATCTTTAGGCGTATCCAATTTCTTAAGGATTACGAATTAGTTTTTCCATATATGAAACCTATTATAAAAATACTCAAGAAGATTCATTATGCCTGTCTATAAATAAATATTATCGGATGCAGGAAAAATAATTCTACCTACATAATAATTTAAATCGTAAAATTTACTGTTAGTTATTATTCTCTTTCTGGAATCTAAATAAAAAAAAAAACATTCAACTAACTTCCACATTCACTTCCATTACTCGAAATGAGTGCGTCTATTACACCATCATAATCGCAGAATGGTGATGATATGACGCAGCATTCACTTCTCAAGAACGTAATTTACTCTAAAGGATCTGATGAATAGAGCGAATTTTGGATTTTATCGTGGTTGTATTAGTACGTAGGCCGAACTCAACTCGCCAGTGAAAAATAAGCGATTTAAATAAAGAATGAAATGAAGTAAACTAAATTGAGATTAATGAAATGATGTGGCAACTACGACATTAGTCTATAAAGTGCATTTATCGCTTGGTAAACGATGAAAATTAGGCCAAAATAGTGGATGCTTCGCCTCGCCGACTATAATGAAAACGGAATTTTATGCAGAGATCTCGTTTGGGTTTGTTTCTGAGATACGTGGGGTTCACCAAAATTGGGCTAGAATCGTTAGCGTTTATTCCGCCCGAGGTAGTCGGATTGTTTACGCGATTTTCCGTCAAAAGTCGGAAAATTATCAGGAAATTCATTACCGCAGAAACTTCTTTGTTCATCCGAATATTCCCCATTTTTCGGAGACTTCGCTGAAAACTTATTAAAGCGTTTCGTTAGTTGAAAAGCAACAGTTTTCTCGGTGTAGCGAAATCTCGGCCAAAAACCGATTAGATTTAACATAAACGAAACGAAATAAATTTAAGCGAGAAAACTTCGACTTCATTTCGCTCTAAAATTAATATTTATCTTAAGTTCTCCCTTTCAGACATTAACAAAATGAGTTTCTCCGCCGAATTCGCCTCTTCTAACCGAACTAAAAACGAATTTTGCTTCGCGGAACTTCACAGAAAATAAACATTTCGCGAGTTATCCGGACAAAACTATAAACTCCCAATTTTCACGACGAATAAAAAAAGTTATTAATAAAATTGAAATAGCAACTTCTATTAGCAGAGAGCTAAAGTAGTTCTGTTCGCAAAAATCAAAGCCCTAGATGTTTAGTTACATAACTTTAATTAAAATGGGCTTGCTCAACGAGTCACGACACCGCGTCGCTTCCTACTTACTTAGCAGTAAATAAAAAAAGAAAAGTTCGAAAGGAATAATGGGGAAGCCAAATTAAAAGATCCTCGAAGGAATCAAGAGTCCGTCGACAAAAGTCCTTTTGAGAAGAGATTTGTCCTTTGCTTGCTGTATTCGGAATCTTCCTTCTTCCACTTATCGTTCGCGAGAAAAGGCGAGGACGAAATTTCCTTAAATTCGTCGAGACGTTTTCTTCGCAACGATGATGAAAATAAGGCTCGCATAACAAACGCGCGGGGGCGTCCTCGAGCACGGTAATTATGAATTCCGAAAGACGGATTTATTTAATATCGATTTCAAATGTGTAATTAGATATAAATATTACCGGGGATTTACGTACAGAGGTGTAGTTAAAAATGTTTTGGACTTACCGCGATTCTTGAAGAAACATGGTTATAAAAATGCACTACACGAAGCATGCCGATGACCCATACACACTGAAACAAACATAAAAAATTTCATTTTAATGTGGTGTATTTAGACCAAAAGCCATAAACAAAAAATACAATTAAAATCCCAACACGAACGCTAGGAAACTTCACTTAACTAGATCCCGATCTCGTTATTTAAAATTAATCCTGCGGACCCCGTTTAATGAATGAAAATAACGTTCGGTTCAACGGCGAAACGTGCCGAGTCGTTACCGCACGAAAGCTAATCTTTATTCTTGATCCTTTTTCGTCCTCCATCCTGCGCGTCCTTGGTCCTTATAACCTCATTAGTATTTGCAACAAGGCATCCAGTTCCGGGGCGATTCGTCCTTTTTGTCACCTCCCGGAGAACTTCCCCATTGTGTCTCCGATTTCTTTACCCCCGGACGAACTACACGCTATCATACAGGACCGGGCTAGATAATACTCCTTAATTACACTAATAGTTTATAACCATTTATTTACGTAGATACATTTGTAAAGGGTTTTATAACCTGGAAACTATTTAATGGACTACTGAGCTAAATAGAAGGTAATTAAAGGCAATGAAGTTATTTCAACAATTAAAGAAATCTGCAGTGAATTAAAAGCTGAACAGTTGCGGCTTGTATAGAGCAATTGGTAAATTGGAAAAGGTCCGGCCCATGCGGGGCACATCTTAGATTTCTTCGGCGAACAATGCGACAAGTTTCCGGGACAAAGTTAGCAACCTGTTAAAAATATAGAACGAGGCCTTTATTCGAGTTCCAGCGCAGGACTCATTTTTCCGATGACGTTACGAGTACAAACTTGTTTCATTCGTTCCGGACGGGGCAAAAATTTGATAAACCATACGCTCGCGTTACGCGCCCCGGGGCCCGCCGCATTTTTCAGGAGTTTCCGGAGATAAAATAGTTATCGAACGGGGAACGGTTATGTGGTGGATCTTATTTCGAGTTTGCGAGCGAGTTTTGAATTGTTACCGAAGAATTAAACATGGTTTACACCGAGCTGGAGGGATCTAAACTTTGTACTATGTCCTGCGGAGGATACTGTTGTGCTTTATGTAGTTCCTTGTTGTAAACAAAAGTACGGTTGAAATAAATAAAAAATTAGTCCAACAAGATTTGATATCAACATACATATAAGTGTAAATTTGTACGCAGTTGGTGCGACAAAGATAACTTCCATAAGTCTCATATAAAGAAAAAAGAAATAGTGTGGGATTGCAACTTTTTATGTATGTAATATATAATAAAGCTTAGAAAGCTGTATTCTAGCTCAGAAAGCAGTATTGTACCTGTTGAAAAATATCCGGAATATAATGACATTTTGAATAAGAATATAAGTGACATATTGACACGAAATATTATTTACGAAAAATCCCGGGAGGGCATGAAATTTTTTACCTCACCTGCATGAAAATCGTTCCTGTCTGATAAAATCACGCTATTCGCAACATTACCCGGCTATTTCAGACTTTATCAAAAATAGAAAAGGATTCGAACTACCGAAACGAGCACGTCTTGGAGTTTTTCTCGCGAGTACAACGCGTAGTCGATGGAACTGAACGCATCACACGGACTGATAAGAAAACAAAAGCTTTTTGAACGCCGATAAATTGATAATGAAGTAAAATTTAATCAAAAATTATATTGGCAAAATTTGTGCCTACTTACATGTCAAAAGAATGTGAATATGACATTAATGAAATATGACAGCTCGTGCTAACTTGATTAATGACCGACTTTATTATCATTTACCAGTAAAGCGGCCTCTTACGTTATAATAATTAGGTCACGAAAACTTGCATGATGATTGGGAGGGTTCAGCCCATCGACTATGCGGTTTGATTCCTTTATTCGGGATGAGAATTCCCGTATTTCAGCCGCGCCGGTTGCGGAACTTTTCGCAGATTCTTGCCAATTGAAAAATTGAGAAACTATTTAAATTTTCAATGGACGGCTTCCATTCTACCTGGCGCTAAACTGCACCGGGGTCACGTGCCCGGCATGCTAATGCCTCTAGGTGATGCTGCGAATTTTCGACGGCGGATGAGGCAATTTGAATCGGGCACATTCGACACGATTCCTGACAAAAAGACGGCCAAAGTTCACCTGAAATTCGAGCGAACGGCGCTCGAGTTGCCGCAAAATTAATTTTGTTCCTTCTTTTTTGGAATTACGCGGGTACATAGATTTGTTCTTTGAACTTTTAAAAATGAACATGATTAATAAATACTGAATTTACTAAAATAATTGATTATATCTTTATAGAATGAATTAAAATTCGTATCGTTAATTATGACATTCATTCCCCAATTAGCAACATTGCAAACGAAGGAAAGCTATTTTTTTGAAAAAATATCCGGGAATCCTGAAAGAAATTATAAAAATCTGCACGTACCTGCCATCTGTTGGCTACTGAGCGACATAAGAAGTAGAGCAAATTAGATACCAATGCTATGACTTCCTGCAATGATATAGCTACTACGCCTGCGTGTTGTACCTCCTGCATCTCTTGTTAAAAACAGACTACTATACATAGTAGAAATAATCCTCTATTATTTTAATGCTTCTTTAATGCACTTACCTCTTTGCAGGACAATAGGAAAGTAGGAATAAAATATGTGAAAATAAAGTATTACATTTTAAAAAGTAAATACTCCATTTCTAACAGACAATACTTATTTTATTACTATATTACAGAAAAAAAAATGAAGTAGTCTTGTATAATACAATTTTGTATATAGGTATATTTATATGTATAAGTACAAGTGCCAAAAGAGCATTGAGCGTGCTCTCGTAAAAAAGAAATAAAATAAATACCGACTTTAAGACAGCGTATCGCGTTTTTACATTTATTAAAAAAAATCACTAGGAAACTATCGATATTCTTGGTTTGCGAGCCATCAATCTCGCTCAATCTTTTCGCAAATTAAAAATATGTTGTAGAAATAATCAAGCAACATCCATTAAAAAAAACGAACTCTTAATCATACGGGTTATTGAATGTACATGTAATAAGAGAATATTGTCCTCTCTATGATACGTTTTTGTTCCTAGAATTTCCTATAGTATAAAATGCAAATAAATTAGTATACGACATAAAATGCATCAATTCGTTAACACTAATTAGCTGTGTAACTACGGAAATAAATTCAGATAGTGGACGGCAAGAATTCTCAAAAGCCCGACGCACTTCTTAACCGCCTCGTGTAAAATCTAATAGAAAATACGACTTGGAATGGGTTATTTAAAAAAATAACTTTACGAGATTTCGTACGAATAAATTAAATTGGAACAATTTTATCACCAGTTCGGGAAAAATGCGAACAACAATTGACACCGAGGTTACCTAACTCTTGGACAATAATTGAGTACTATAAAATAACATTTTTGGGAGAACAATCCAGGAAATGAACCGTAAAAAATGCCACATTACTCAGCCTTCTTACTATTACATAGATATGTTAATCTAATTCCTAAATTGACCCAATACAGCGATTTTCAACGAAATAACTAATTCGTTTTTTAAGTACAGAAATAGTTGTGCATAGATTTCGTCAAAATCATAATTGGCGAAATGTGCGATTTTCAAATTTGAGCTGTTCTACATAAAGCGCCGTCCGGAGCTTTACCTCAAACGACAAAACAATCTAAGTACAATCTTTTGTACACAGTAATTTAAGCATTCGTTAATAGCTTTTCGAATCAATACGTACCGGTAAATCATATTAGAGTCTTCATAAATGAGTCATCAAAAAATAAGTTACTAGAATAATGTCAAGTCAACTTCAACTCAATGAAATCTCGGTAGAAATGACTTGTTTTGTTTATTTTTCCTAGTTTTGCTTTTCCCGAAGAAAACAGTGTATTAACCTAGTCTATTAATGTTCTGTTCTGTTCTGTTCATAAATTTTTAGGTCAGATGGTAATCGATAATTTATGAAGACTCTTGTAGAACAAAACTATGATGCATCCATCACTAGATATAGCAAACTGATGGTACTATCACAGCTTATCATTTTTCTTCCTATTTTAAACCCTTCAATTCCTTTAAAGATTGCATCATTGCTGTATTCTTACGATAAGATTTAACAATAGGTATAATTTAATGCTGACGATTTACCTTATATGCCACTAAGCTATCAACAGACATTTTATAGTCGAAATTTACCTCGTACATCGAAGCAACAGGCTTTCGTTATACATTTTAAACTTAACTTTTTATACAGAACGAACGAACAGTTAATTCTTTCTCAAAATTATGCTGCATACTCGCGTTAGTAAAACTAAATGTTGTCTTTCAACCCAATCACAACGTCCCCACTATGTACAAATTGCACAGACTAGTCCTGGCAAAATAAACTAAAAGGCAGTAAAAATTAAATGGAATGGATCACATCTTACAAATGTACACGGCATAAAAAAGATGCGGTACGGGAATTTTTTTCGATGTTCTGTTAAATATCTCATAAGCGCGCGTACCGCAACTTCTTTACAATATAAATAAACATATTTATAAATAAAAATATTCATAAACTCAACAACTAATGACAAGTTAACAATTCTCGTAGGTATTAGGAAACGATTTTAATTTGTTCCAATGAAACTCCTCACATTAGGAATCTCGTTGGAACAATATTCCAATACACCACGTTAGTGTGATATCAAAATGTCCTCAACTTCGCCACTCTACAATTATTATTCGAATTATAATTAGCCTTTAAAACGATCTGAACAAAATGACTAAATTAGTTACAAATAATTGGTTAGAATCAATAACTATAATTCATTTACAGCTTTAAAAAAATGGTGCAATTGTAACATTACATTGAATTCGTGATTCCAACTAATTTGTAAAGTAATTCGATTAAAAAAAACCGATATATCCCCACAAAGTCGGACATTACCATGATATACATCACTAACATGTTGCACAGCGATTCCCTTATAAAAACAACAACAACAACAACTAAAGTTGTATTTGAAACGCCTTGGGAGCGGTAGCGGCGTTCAAAAAAGGATTCGTGCTATTCGTACCCTGCCTAGCTGCCGTTTCGGCCCATTCGGCGTCGAAGGGATCCGGCTTGGCGTTCTGGAACGTCTCCGATCCGGTGTCCAACGACAGGGCCCTCGACTGCGCCTTCAGCGACGGTATCCGCCGCGGCGTCGAGCCGTCCATCTTGCTGAACGTCGGCGAGGAAGACTTGACCATCTCCAGCCACTGTTCGGGCTTGGGCAGCGCCGAGGCGGACGTCGACGTCGACGTGTTCACCTCGTTCCTGGGGCCGATGTTCAGATTGACGGGCGTGAATACGTTGGGGGACGTTCTGAAGCTGTTGTTGATCGTCGTCACGTTGACGTTGAGCGTGTTTTGATTCACGGAACTTTGATTGTTGAAGTTGAAATCGTCCGAGCCGCTGTGGGTCAGCTGCGAGAGCCCTTGGCTCAGCTGCTGGCAGAGGGCCGTCACCGAATCGCCGGGCAGGACCTCGGGAATGGGCGAGGCCGGCGGTTTGCCGTTCTCCGGCGGCGACGTCGGCGATTTGTAGGAATTTATGCGGGCCGTGTTGCTCGGGAGATCGTTGACGCGCAGCGACATTTGCCGTTTGAACGGCGAGTTTTCGCCTAACGTGCTGAACCTACAAAGAACGGAGCGATGCAGTGACTCGAGAATATGCGATATGCGCGAATAGAATTACCCTCGGCAACTTCCTTGTCTTTGTAACATACTGGGCGTGGCGTGCGGTCTTTCGATGGCGAATGGATTAACGGGTGCGGGTTTGGGATTCGTAGAACCGACGTCTATTCCTCGCTCTTTGTCCAGTCTTTCCGTTAAACTCTGCTGCCTAAACGAACCGCTTCTAGTGAACGTGCTGTTTTTCGTATCGAACATCATCGTCACTCCGCATTCTTTATCCCGCTTTTGCTTCCTACAAACACACATTAATTACAACATGTATAAACACGAATCGAAATTCACTATTTACCTTTCTAAACATACTGCGAAAGCGCACCCCACAGCGTGCGATAACCGCTCTCCGCTTTCCCTCAAGGCCAGGAATCCGTGACACATCCACCGCCTGGTGGTGCCGTCCCGGCATATGTAACTAAACCCGCGCTCGTGGTTCCTATCCGGAGCACAAAAAGACACTTTTTCTATGGTCTGATCGACTATAAGTCCTTTGGTTTCCTCTTCGACTACCCGCAAACCGTCGCCGCTCACGTGCAACACCGCCCTGACCGGTCTTCGACGCGATCCCTGCAAAGTCAAAGTTCGTGAAAAAATCGCTCGAATGTCGTAGAGACGAGTCTTACCCTTAGCACTTTGAGCGCTTCCTCGCAGACTTGCATGCCCCGCGAATCGAACACTTCGACGCAGCCGAGGTATTTGACGGCGAAGGTGCAGGTGCCCGATCGCACGGCCGATTCGTCGGCCTGCCACTGGTGCGGCTTCGAGCTCTCCGGGATGCGGTCCTTTCGCCTGCGGAAGGAGTCCCTGAACGACCGCCGGAGCCTGTCCATCTTGCGAGGCGATCGAAGACTTCGCCTCTGAAAAGAGAATTAAAACCCAATGAGCAATTACAGTCAATTTAGAGGTAGGATTGTTGGTGGCATATGGTCGTTTAATTACTTTTTTTTTTCGTTATTTGTTGGAAGGGAGTAAACGGAATTGGACTAACGAATGAAACATTTATATGTCCTATATTTCAAAATGTGTTCTCATATAGTTATGTCATAAACTAATTACAACTTGGGTAATCGATATAAACAATTACATACAGTTGTAATTTATCGAGCGCTATCTGTGCCTATTTTTAGTCCCATATGAAATTCAATGAAGTATTTAAAACTAATTGTTATAGCGTGGGACAGCTTAAGTACAGTAAACTATCTTTTGAAGATATTTTTGTTCACAGTAAAAACTACTAATTTCACGAAAATGTTTGCATTAGAATGCATTAACAATAAGTGTTATTAATCTGAAAAATAAACCACTACAAAAAATAATAAAATACTATTTGAAATATATTTTAGGAAGACAATAGTACCAAAGGTTTCCACGTTTTTTCAATAATAATTATAATTTTCTTTTGATATTTCTGGTACGAATTCGACTGGACTATAAAAAGGTTCGTGTGTCAACAAATCAAAAGTGCTGAGAATGTATTAAAACAATTGTAACGTATGAAGCGACCGCCCACCGTATCACGTTAAACTGTTATTAAATATTTCATGCGCAAATCACTTGTGTGTTTATTAGAGAGTTTGACCAACATTTTCGTTATTTTCCCGTGGCGTACACAAACAATTTTTGTTTGCAAAATAATTGTACACGTCGCGTCCAGGATTGCAATATGTAAAATCTGTTAAACAGATCGTTTAAAACAAATAGCCCGAAATTAATGGTTCATTTGTATTTTCGAAATTTTGTAAACATTGATTGATTTTCTTTGCTAGCGCTGAATTAATCAGATTTTACCTGTTTTCGCGCATAAGTAGACGTGCAGAAAAATCCTATTTATAACGAGATCGTTCTAAATTCAAACTTCCTGTCCTGAATAATCGAATGGCTACTTCCAAGCGGAATCGTAAACGTCGAAAAGCAATAATTGCATCCTGCAGCCGGGTTTACGACCAGCGAATAAGATATTCTCTTCAAGGTAGAGTATCATTTACGATTTATTCGCAGAGTTATCGCCTTATCATCGATTTTTGCCGAGGTTTTCGTAGTTTACAAAGAAATATAGACGATAACAAGGCAGTAGGAGTATCCTGTTTACTTGATGAACATTTTGGAATCTCAACATGTTTTCTAGAAAACGCTGATTTTAAGAGTTAGGAAGTAGTTGAATTTAATTATTAAATTTTTCCTGAAATATGCCTAGTGACTATAACAGTCTAGTGAAAGTCAGTGATCTTTTTAATAAGCAAACATTTACTCAATGTATTTCGTTATTTCGTGAATAACTTAAGTCTTTTACAGCTCTGTAAATGCATTTTATTAACATTACGCTAACAGAATCTACAAACAGTACATTTGTAATCATTCCTTTCTACTAATTCTACCAACTTCCAAAGACAAATTATTATTTTTCACGTTCCTCTGCTTCAATTTCTCCAAGATTTCTTAGCCTTTCTGGATGTACCTAATTAAACGCTCGCAATGATTTAACGCAATAAACGCGCTATAAATAATTTTTATAGTAATCGAGCAAATAGAAGAGATTACGAAATGCGTCGAGCGACATTCATAAATTTTTGGAAATCAACACGAACCGTTTGTTGCCCGCACGAGTCCGCCGGAGCGAATTAAAAGCCAATTCCTCAATCCATTTGTTTTCCTCATTTTTGAAGGTTAATTTACAGATAATTTAATTAAACGATCGTTATTTTTCGCTCTTAATGACTCGACTTAGCGCATTAATCGTTTTATGGCTCGTAATTGTGATCGGGATTAACAATAAGAATACAGGATTGTTACTTACGCGGGTTTTGTTTTTCGAATAAGTAGATAAGTAGTCTACCTACTGCTTTAATAATGTAATATTTGAACGAGAAATCGACAAGCATCTTGGAATATATGTGTTCCCGAGACAAAAGGGTTCGAGACTGCCCGCATTTGAGGGCATACTTGAACCTTTAACAAGCAACTTATCAAGAAAGGCTTCTCGAACACCTGAATTTCGATTGAAAGGAAGGGTCTCCGAAAGAATTCAACGATTAGATCCGCACGGTTGAGGGCCGGGATGTTCGATTTAAAAAATATTTAGACAGAAAAACGTAGATTCTCACCGTGGAATCCGTCACAGCACATTGCACACTGTCCATTGTACACAACGCGACTGACGTTACTGAGAAATTACGACATTTTTTTTTATCAATTATATTATTCAATAGTCCCAGACGAATTACCTTCGAAGTTATCTCGACGAGCAAAAACAATAAACAATCGCTTATTATTCCTAATTGTAGTTCTTATAGGACGCTATATTTATGTTATCAAGGACCTACCGCGTTTCGTTTCCTCGGTCGATAAGTAACTGATAAGTGACCAAAGAAATGGATAAATTGGGGAAAATAAATTAGCCTTTTTAATGACTAATTGTTAATTACATTATAAGTAAACACAGAGCAAAAATTAGCAATTTGCGGTCAATGTGAGAAATACCAAGAGATTCTGAGAGTAATACATAATCATTCGAGAAACATTCCGTCTTATCCACACATTTACCCGTTTGAAATGAGCAAAATAAACTGCACGAAGCATATAAATTCTTGACACATATTTTCTGGAAATATTGCTTCCAGTCTGGATTCTTCGGCTGTATTTCATCCGTCTAACGTCTGACTTCTTGTCTGCTTTATTTATAGCTTACATGCAGTAATTTCGAGAATTTCGACGGTAAAGCAAACGCCAAGAAATATACCTCGCTTAATTATTTTATCATTAACAGCGCATTATATTAAAAGTAGTACTTACTTATAGTGAACTGATAAGTACTGATATTGAACATTTATATTCTGGTAATATACTGGAAATATTAGCAAATTTGTTTCTATTGAACAATCGCCTTATTCTACGTTATAATATTGACAACTAAAGTTGTTAGTCTACCTATTATATCTCATGGTATTTAAGTAGCTATCTGTTTACTTTCATTTCCATCTATAATTACTCGAGACGGGATGTCTAAGAGATAAATAGATAGATAAATAATGCATTTTTAACTTGTCATCCTGGACAAGAAAAATTTAAGAAACTAAATAAAACGCGTGCGTGCGTTATGTTTTTATTGTTAAAGAAAAGTACCTTTAATTTCGTTTAAATACATCAAATATTGACGCTTATATTTCTAATTTTGAAATTATACAGCTCGTATTTATTTATAACTAATTTGTTAATTCGTTAATAACTTTATGGCAGTATTGTTACAGTGGCATAACAAGCGGAAAATTAATTATCACTTGCTGTATTGAATGATAAAAAATGGAATGCCATACAAGTCCAGAATTGGAACTTCAGGAATGCTGCAGAAAGGCTCCACTTAATTACAAACCATTAAACAAAAAAAAATCTAAATAAAATGAATCACATGCTTTAATGTAAACTCTCGGTTAGCAAACTGACGTTAAACATAGATAAAACTCATTCGCGGCTTATCACAAAAAAAAATGATAAATCTATATATTTAGGAGTAGGTAATTAAACCACGGCCCATATAAATTTAATACTGATTCATGTCTATCATGTGAACAATAAAAAAATCAGAGTTTGTTGACTCAAGTTATGGTCTGCCAGGTTCTTTATTATGAATACCGAACCATCGGTGTGATAATGAAAATTCATGCCACAAATTACCAACGTACAGTTTAACAATGAATGGGTATACCGTTAGATATTTGGTAAATTCGGGATCGCCGAGTTGTACCACGGGATAGCAGGTAGGTCTAATCCTACTACCGAGTTGTACCACCGAATTTTCTAATGAGGCTTAACGACTTAAAAAATAAAGCCTGACAATAACCATTAACAATTTTATTATAAATTAGATACAAAATTATAGTAAAATATAAAATATCAAATATAAAATATCTACACATAATCTACTTATACATACACATTTAAATGCTCAACTGCGGCAAATAGTAAAAACTTAAAGACTTTACAAAATCAAATTTATTAATTTTGTTTTCTTTAAATTCATTAATTTTTAATGTTATATAATCGAATTTCTTTCTTGTAACAGACTTCAGTTTTTTATTATTTTCTGATTCACTGGCAATCTTAATTTTAGTGAACGTCTCACTTTGTATATTTATTAGAATGTCTGTGAAAAGAAATATATTTGGGTGAGGAGAATAAAAACTGTTTTTCAGTACCGAATGAAACTACTCACAAGCGTTCGTAGACCTGTACATGCTATTGGTGGTACATGCCCAAATTTTCGGAGGAAAGCTAGCTTCTTCTGACACATAATTGTCCAATATGTAGTCGCAAAATTGTATTACTTTCTCATCATTGGGTAATTTATCTAATATTTGGAATGCGAAAAAATCACCTACTTCGGTAGGTTCCAGAAAGTGTAGGCCGAAGAATAATTTCAAAAACTTACCAATTTCCGAATTTTTTTCTTTGTATTCATTAGATAGTCCTAAATTTAAAATTTTACGGTACCACGCTTGGCATAAATGCTATCCCGTGGTACAACTCGGCGATCTCGAGCATATTAAGGCCATTAGGGGTAATTACGTCGTGGTACAACTCGGTAGTCAATGTAATCCGGATAAAGAACGGTAAGGGATTAATTCAGGTAGTCGTGGTACAACTCGGTAGTCCCCGGTAAATTGACCTCCGTGGGAAAATCTAATTAACTGATACGAAAACCGAAATTTTAATAAACAAAAACAGTTCTTCAAAAATAGGATTTTCAGTTCAAAATTAGTATGTTAAATCCATATTATTTAACCGAGTGATTAAAGTACAAGTAATACCAATTTTTATATTAATAACAATCCGGTGGATTAAATTAAAATACTTCAACAGTGAATCATTAACAGAGCACCACCCGGTTCGTATTTCCTGATCCGAATCATCTGCTCGTTGGAAAGTAAAATTATCCGGTTGCGTTCGTTGCAAGACAATTTCGTGAGTCACTGACAGTGACCAGATCACAAAAATTCAATTCTGATAGAATACGATGTGATTCAGTGATTTGTAGTTTTTGTTGGAATTACGCGCCTGTATGAATCACTACTAGTAATAATCCGATTTATTCGCATAAATTAATCCGGACAGGTGGAAGTATACCGTTTAATTGGATTGTAAAAGAGCGGTATTGAAGCGGAAACGAGAATTTTATACAATGACAGTTTTATATGCACTTCTTTCTATGTAGGTAGATTATTTTGTGAATAAATGATAGGTTAATAGGCAACAAAAATGTGGATTTTCTATACATACAAAAGCAATTAAGATTAAAGAAAATTATGTACTACAAAGATAAAAAATAAATTGCTACATAGGCGATATACCACATGAAATGTGGAGATTTTTTTACGAAATATTTGTTCATTAATTATCGAATTTTTCAAAGAATTGTGCTTCTAATGGGTACTTATTCTTTTTCCCATTAACGTTAACTCAAGGTTGAGTTGCATTTGAATTTGAATATTAGCAAGTAATAATGGGAAATCCTTTAACCTTATTCTATGACGTTTGTTAGCTTAATAAGATTTTTATTGTAAAATTTCATCACACAAATCTCTAGATAATTCTATTAAAAAGTACCCACTTGTAGAACGCAGTGATAATTTTTTTATCATACATATCTATCAAATTATTTACTTAATTGTTACTTAATTCTTCCTTTTCTTAATTAAAGTTAAATCGAATTAACGAGTAGGATAAATAACATTTTTGGATAATTTATATTCGTAGAGTGTTGAATTTCCTAACGGAATTTTTGATAAGCTGATGACTAGAATTTCATGCTAGTTTAATATTCGAAATATTCAGCAACAGCGACGATGAAACGTGGATTCCAAGTAATATTAAAACAAAATACAGTGGAGTAGAGGAAAAACAACCATTTCAATAATTAATAAAATATTTCATATGACACTTACTGCATTAACATCTCCAAATTTCGACAAATTCCTCTCCAACGGCAAATGATTAGAATTCTGATTACCCATGATAATCCAATAATAAGTATTCACACTGTTCCTGTACACGAATAATATCACCCACTTTTCTATAAGTACATCACAAAATCTAAATTTTACACTTCTTTCGCCCGCTACCCATTACCCATTGACAAGGAGCCGAAGAGAGCAGATGCTGCCTCGAAGTCCAGATGCTAAAAGAGCCCGCGGACCAGCCGTACCTTCGCCAACGGCGTCCCTACGAGCGGCCGCAACCTTCCACTGATCCACTGGACTTCCTCGAGTAGGTACGTGCAGTTGCACCTCGGCAATTCTTCCAAAACAAAAAAAAACCGAAAAATTTTTCACTGGCTCGCCTTGATGCGAGCAACAAACAACACGAAAACACTACGCAATCCACCGAGAATCAGCGAAATAGTCGAGAAAATCGCGATATCGGGCGACTTCGATGGGCGATCAGGACGGATCGTAACCTCGAAAGTTCGATCGGCGAAAAAGCTGGGAAAGCGGAGAGTCGGTCGAGTTTTCCGGATCGAAAACAACGATTTCGAAATAACGAACCGACGTCGAAACCACCGGACGGTCGACGGATGACGGTTAAAGGTATGTCGTCGTTTATCCCCACACCGAGCTGTATTATCGGTGCTGAAAATGTCGACACAGGTAAACGCACCTTCGCCATGTTGCCGATCGTTTCGAAATATCCGCCTATTTGCCTATTAAAACGGTACCTCTACCAACAATCTACTCCTCTTCGTACTTATGAATTATTATTGCTTATAACAAATTTCATTTATGTCTGAATGCACCTGTCAACTATACAATCAACTATACAAAATACTCATGTTAATATTAATAACTAGATATAAGTAATAATTATAGAAGTTGCTTTGTACGATACGGCAACGTCGCCTCGTCGTCAAACTACTTTATAGAAAAGAAAGGATGTCGTCCTGTGAATCCAGTTTTATTGGTTAAATTCTTGTTGGCAAACTCTTAGTTATTCAGACTGTATCAATACTTCAAACGGAAACTTCGCTTATCGATTCGACTGATTGAGCAAACGAGTCTCGAACAAATTTTCTGGTAATTAGTGAATTTGAACTTCCAAAAGCCGTTTTATTTACTCGTTAGCTAATCTGTTGGGTAGTTTGAGGTCTGAAGACCTTGGCAAGGTCGTTGGCATGTTAGAGAAAAATTCGTTTTTTTTCTCACAGGTAGGTTATACAGGATGTCATAAAATATGTGCGAAGACTGATTTCTTGATTCATTTTAAGATTCACATGAATCCATAAACGTATCAATTTTGAGTTACAAAGGTCACTACAAAATAATTTTATTACTATACCTATTCAATTTCTAGTACAAAAATTATTATTTCGCAAGAATATAATAATCTCTATGGACGAGATTTTAGGGCTGATTGTGAGTAGTTATTTCCGTACATTTCTATTACACTAAAATAATTCACAATGGTAATATCAGCAAAAAACAATGTTGCTTACTCAGAAATATGATGAAAAACAAGAAAAAAGTTTAAAAAGATCAAAAAAATGTGCTTTGTCAATAAACAATTGTTATTCTATTATTTATTAAACAATTATGTTGTTTTTCAAACTTCTCTTAAGACTACAATTTTCCACGAAAAATTACACTTAAATAAATAGGAAACATCCCACAAAAATGAATAGGAAACCGAGTCCAAGCATAACAGAAAGAACTTTCAACAAGTTTTTACTTCATTGTTCACTAGAGGGGTTTATTACGCTTCTAAAAATGATTGAGTGCCTATTTAGGAAGACTGAGTAGAATGAAATCAATTACAAATTTGCGGACGGTCCGCGCATGATGTCGAAACACAACATCCAGCTGTGAATAATAAAATATTTCACGACATATGGTTCATAAAAAAACCTTTTAATAACAATGATATCCGAGGAAAGAGAAACATGAGCCCAACTGCCCATCGGAAATTAAACCGAATCGATGGGAACAATTCTAAAATCCCCGTGGAATTCGACGCGGAAAAATGTTGAAAGTTTCCAAAAAAATTACTTTCGAATTCCGAATTTTTCCGAATTCATTAGCACACCGACGTGCCGATGAATATCCTAAACAGTTACCTCATCGATTTTCGGAATTTCCTTAATAAATTCGGGCGTTTCTTTGTTCAGCACTCGAAAGAGGATGAGTCGAGACTTATAAGGAATAATGAAATAAATATTCAGTAGGTATTTAAATTACGCAATGCCCACGATAATGGCACAATACCCTTTGTGTTTCCAGTTTCTATTAATAGACAAGCATATATAATTTTAAAGAAAAATTAGTATAATCTATTTGTTCATACTATATTGGAATAGATTCGACAAATTAGTTTTGGAGGTTTTGTTGATAAGGCTTTCGCTATCGGCGTGTCATGTCAACAATACGCTTTAACAGGTACTTTGACCTGCTTGCAGCAATACCTATCGTACCTAGACCAGTTCGTGTGAAACTATTCCGTTTATTTTCACATACCGTTTCTGGTATTGGTGCCTTATTAATAAATTTCTTTTTGTATGGATTATTGAAAATATTGGGGTGACGCGTCGACAAAATAAACATAATGATGATAGCCTCGTTCGGCGCCAGCCAGGGATAAATGCGCTTAGGGGTGACCGGGGAACCACATCAAATCCCCACTCTAAATAACACACCTCAAGATTCTTCAACATGTAAAACATGTAACACACAACCGCGTTATTTTAAATACACTTTACTGGTTTTATAGCTGTTGAATTAATTCCACGAACGGCTAATTTTTGAACGCCTTGATTCACATAGCGCCGGTCTCCCCTAAGGCTTGTGCCCCCTTCTTCAACAGGTATCCGCGGCCGTTAGAAACGTACCGAGTGGGGTTAGGACCGTGGGATATTTTTCATTTCCCCGTACGTATATCGCACTCCACGCTGTATATCCGATTTTTAACGAACCGACGGGTATTTCCCATCATCTGCATACGCGGGGCGCTTCTATGGGAGAATTAACCGTCTCGGGAGCTGGCTGGTTTTCTGGATTTTTCAGGGACAATGAGATGAGAAACTCCGTCGAAAATTATCGCACTATTGTGGTTTTTTTTCAGATTAACCTCTCGTATTTTTTATATTTTTCAACATGTCTAGTAGACCTGAAGATGGTGTGAAATCTACCGAAACTTTGGCTTACATACATATTTGCACTTATATGTATACAAAGGTATCTTGTCATAGTCAAAGTGCTCTAATTAAATTCATAATGAAGTATGCAATTTAAGCATTTTGACCCATTTACATATCCATGTAAATGCAACGTTGATCATTAGAAATCGTAATGGTCTGAATAATTTAATAATGAAATAACAAAAAAAAACTATAAATAATATTCGCATTTACATTGAGATCGTTTTGCAATTTATTTAACATTGCACACTCTTTTATAATTAAATAAATTACAGTACGTATGCCTATTCAAGGCTCGGCGCATAAAAAAAACAGGATACTTATGGTCGTAACAACTTCAAGGCGAATGTGCGGCAAATGATTGAAAAATTCGATTTATTCGCGAATTTAGCTTATACGTAACTTACATCGAATGATTTTCAGATTAAATAACAGCCGCTCGAAAAGATTTCAATCAATTCAAACACGCTTAACAATTCTTAACTAGATAATTCATTTGTTGAAAATAGAAAAAGGATATATAAAATTAACGAATTGGTTTTATCTGGAATATCCCGCAAAAATAGTTTGAGCAACAATTTTCTTGAGAAAATAAAGTTTGTAAAGAAGCGACTGGGATTTGTTAAAATTCTCACCTAAATGCAGCTTCTTTGTACCTGAAATTTTCCCAACATCAATACAATTAAATCGCTCTCCATCGCACCGACCGGCCCAACAAAAACTGACTTTTTCTCACCCCTAAATCGCGACGATTCCACCTTTTCACCCTTCGAATATAATGATCTCTTAACGAATTCCGACCTCACAATTGTATCCTCCGACTTCCTTCTGGTATACACTTTTTTTTTATACACCCATGTTCCACCTCATTCGGAAAACAATAACGCCAGCGAATATCTCGCAATGTTCCCACCAACCGTGAAATTCGGATCGCACAGAAAGTAAATCGCTGACGTGGAAGAATCACTTGCAAGGCAATTCTTTAATAATTAACTAGGCGAGTCAATTAGGCGATGATTGAAAAGGGACGATTCTGTTAAGTTATGGGCGAGCCTAGTGGTGAGGAGAAATTGGGTTTAATTGTCTCTTTCAATTGGTTCATCAACTAAGTTCTCTAATTAGTTTTAACTTCACCTTGATGGAGAAGCCTAATTGCTTTATTATGTGAAAATATTGATGATAGAAATGATAAAATAAGAGATTCTAAATAATGGTAAAATATGAAGTCCCATCTTTTATAGCAATGATTTGTTGGAAGTGATTCTTTAATGAGTCCAAAATCATATTAGGGAGGCATCTTCTACCCCATGACCTGTAATATAAGCCTATTTCTAAGAGTCTAACTTCTATACAACCTGATTCCCAGAATATTTACTAGGCAACTGTTTTGTATAAAACTAAAGTACCTTTGATGGTTAACTTGACAAACCCAAGGCAAGGAATATTGCTCGTAAAAAACTACTCAACTTTATCCGAGGGGATTATTATAAAGGCTTAAATTAGAAAGGGTCATGTTGAAAGGTCATATAGTGTGTTGAGGTATTATATTACCTTTTACAACGCTGCACAGTAAGATGAAACAGCAAGCAATTTCACTTATTTTTACTTTATAATTAGCTTCTCTACTACCTGTGATCTCAAAAGGTTAAAAGTATATAAATTAGGTGCTATAGAGAGATAATAGTGTATAGTGTTCTTAAGAATGTAACATTTTCTTCCACTACAACTAAGCAGTTACTTAATAATAGGACTTACATGGGAAATTTATGTAGAATCAAAGGGAGTTTGTAGAATCCAAATTGAAATGGTATCCGAATGAGGGTTTCCTTTCTCGCGCCTACGCTGTTGATAACCATGTGATGTGCAATGTGCAGTGCACGGTGCACCCCTTTTCTCTTGGCCCTGCGGCCCCGCACGATACAGACAAGGAAAGCGATCAATACCGGCTTGATAATTCCGAGCCCGACCAAAATCGGTCGTCGCTCGAAAACTGAATGAAACGAAGGAAAACCCGCCGAAAGAATCGCTCGCCGGTTGCCCAATCGATAATCAACCTTTTTTGCATTGCTAAAAACCCGCCTAGGCGGCAAGTCGGAGGTGTCGTTTCACTCGACATGTCGCGGCCTTGTTGCGATACGTCCCATATGCCCCGTGCTCGCCGATTAATTCCAGTTTGCCGAAATGTGCAATGGCCATTGCGCCAACACGGATTTCCTAATTACTATATGCCGCTAATTAGTGAATTAAACGAACGGTTGCGGTGGAAAAATCGGCGGGTTTTCCGCAAAAATCGAAACACCTGTGCTGGTCTTTTTCACTTACCTAAGGTATTTCGCAAGGTCTAGCGAATGCCGTGTCATAGAGAGGAAGGAACTGTTTCTGGCGGATCCCGGCGCGGGTGGAAGGCGAGCTTACATCGGAGACACATGGTAGATTATTTGTGGAAATGCTGGTGGTTGATTTTCGCCGGAAATAAGGCCGATTTCCTGTAAGCACGGAATCGGCGGCCGCGCGATTTACTCTCGAGTCTGAACTAGATATTCGCTACGCGTAAGATTTTCCTTATTTTCAGAATATCGCCGCGCAAACAGAAATCGAACGCTCGGCCTCTTTAGTATCAGACAAGAATAGACGGTGTCGGCGTGTAGACCGAGCGATATTACGAAAGTTAGTGACCGCACATTGAATTTAGACTCGTTCCGTCCCTTTCTAATTCATTCGGTGATTTACCGTTGTTTTCCTCACGAAAAACCAGATGAAAATTAATTTTATTTCGGCACCGTAGCGACATCTCCACGTAGACGCTATAACTACTAAATTTTAATTTTCTTCTTTTTTTTAAAGTTTCCGTAATCACAATCACTTATCACTTATGTTTCTTCTGTCACTTTTCACTGTCACTGTCACACTTCATATATAATACAGAAAGCTAGACAAGGAACAAAGAATACTTACTAATTATTCACTGATTCACACAGTGATTATTACGAATAAATTTGACACCAAATTTTAATAGATTATTGGCTTCCTTTGCAAAAAACCTAATCACAGCTACTTTTATAGCATTGTAAATACATAAATTCATTTTAAACAAATATTTAAAAAAAATAGAACACTTTTTTACCGACCGCGTTTTTTAACATGACACTAATGACAGCTGATAGTGACAGTGACAGTAGCTGTCATGAATTGTCAAACGCGTCATCCTAAAAGATTTCTCAAATATTTTTCGGGATGTCTCCTATAGTAAAACAGTTCAAAATTAGGTAGTGGCTCCCGATGAATTAAATATGAACGGCGAGGATGATCGTTGGTCTTTGTATACTGCTTCGCAGCATTTACCCGCCGTTTTAACGGACCCCAATAAGGGCAGACAATCAAACTTTTTCACCAAGACTTGGGGTGATGGTTTCGTCGAGAAGACGACGATAGAAAAGAGCCCCTTTCTGCCGGAGATCACTTGGGCGCATTTCGATGCTTACTTGAGGAAATTCGGGAAGAGGTACAAGAGACATTCCAGGTTTAAGGAGGTTTCGTTTGAGGGAAATCACAATAAAGTTCAAACCCATACTGTGAACACTGAGGGCATTCCAGAAATCTACTTAAGGCAAAATCTTAATCTTAATGACCCCAAAGTATTTGCTGAGGTATTCGAGGTAAGGAAAACATTACAATTAGTACTTAAAATTTAATTAAGCTCTACAACAGTAATTTATTTTATTCGTTAAAATTACTCGATTTGAGTGAAAAGAATAAATGGATACGCATTTTAAATGGTTTATGTGATATTAAAAGCATTACCCTGCATATGTATGCAATATTCGAGACGTTTATGAATGATAAAATTTCTTATCAGAGCTAAAATTTTTAAAATTGCAAATTATCCTTAGGCATTTATTTTCAAGGTTATCGTATTTATTTTTTTACGCCTGCATATTTTAAAACGAAATCACAAAAAAATAACCGTTTTTTTTTTTGTTCATCGGTAGAGCAAAAAAACCGAAAACGAGCTCCAAGATGAACTCAGCCATCACTTAGACGTAGTCGAGGAGCAAATCGCCCAACAAGTTTCCCAAAAATCCGGCGCCTTCTTCCACGCCATGACCTCCCACGATAGTATTATGGAAGAAATGGGAACGGCCTTGCAGGAAGTAAAGGCTCTACGGTCCAAAGTCCAAAGGGTGGACAAGGCCTTCGCCAGGGATTCTCTAAGACTGATAGGTTTGGCTAGGGGAAAAGCCAATTACGTCGCTTTATTGGACAAGCTGAAATTAATGGCGACAGTCCTGCAAACGCAACCCACTCTACAACTGCTCTTGAGCAGTTCGGATTACGTGGGGGCGTTAGAACTAATTGCAGGCACCCAGGACGTGTTGGTTAAGGAATTAGCAGGAGTGAGTGGTTCGTTAATGTAGAAATACATTAAATAATTATTGGTTTTGTAGGTAACGAGCCTTAGGCACCTTCCGTCTCAACTTAAAGAAATGCAGAAACTTATAGATAAAATGTTAACGACGGAATTCGAGCGTTACGCCGCCACTGATTTGCACAGGCCTATGGATTACGAGACCGTAGGGGTATTAGAACCCGAAAGGTTGGTTAGTTTAGTCGCGGGGCTACTTCGGCAAAGCCATCTTCAATTTTTAGAAGTTTACAAACTGGTATGTTTCTAATTAAGTTAATAACAAACCGGGGTTTAATTATATTTTGACTTTAGGAAGCTATAACAGCAGCTCAAGCCTTACTGAAGCAACTGATGATCGAACATTTAGCCGATGCAGATGATGAATTGAACGAATTGACCGGTTCAGGCGAAATTGCACCCACAATGGACGCACCTCACTGGTTAAAGGTCATACGAGCTGCAAGCGAAGCTTTAAGTAAATCACTATGATTATTTACTACACTGCGGTGCATAAATTCCATAATTACATTATGCAGAACTTATAGGCAATGTTATTGGTGATAGACAAGTCTTGGCATGTTCATGCAACTATCCAGTGCAATATTATTCAGTCTGATTAAGGTGTTCGACTGATATAATGTGTTTTCATAGCACTGGTTTTGTAGAATCAGATTGAACAATGTTGCACTAGATAGTTGCATAAAAAAGTCAAGAAATTTGCAAATATCCCTCTTTGTACCACCTTTATTTTCAATTAGTCTGATTCAGTTGTTGGATTGATAAAGATGTGTTTTCATAGCACTGGTTTTGTAGAATCAAACATCTCAAGAACTTTGCAAACATCCCACCTTTATTTCTGAACGTTAGAAACTTCTCTTCTTACCTAAAGATTAACCACCGTTACTTTAATAAACTTTGTCTTTGTTCAACTCGTAAACTCATTTATTGTGTCCAATTTGTAGCCAAGATAATCGAACGAGTAAAAGCAGTCCACAACGTCATCAAAGACATAGCCTCGACCAGCGCCGGTCTGTCCCCATCGAACTCGTCTCTAGCGTCTCCGTCCACGGAGAACTTCCTCTCGCTCGAAGAGCACAATCGCGTCGAATTGAAGCTGCGCGACCTGCTGTCGTCCGTCTGCGACTACTGCACGGAGCGCGTGGCCTCGCTGGTCAGCACGCAGTCCGACAAGCAGACGATCACGGCCGCCCAAGTGGTCGAGCTCTCGAACATCGTCGAGGGATTCACGGAGACGTGCGAGCGGACGTGCGGCGGCCGGCAGAGCGCCGCCCTCAAGGCCGCCTTCAAGATACAAGCGGGCAACTACGTGCACCGGTTCCACGTGCAGCGGAAGAACAAGCTGCAGATCCTGCTCGACGCCGAAACGTGGAAGGTGGCCGAGGTGCCTTCGGAGATACAAATGTTGGTCGATAAACTAGCGTTAGGTAATCTGATTTATTGACTAAAGCGAGGTTAATTAAGCGTTGTAATATCGCAGGAGAGCCGATTAAATCGTTGCCTTGTTCGCCTACCGAAGAGGATATCACAACGAATAAATACAATGTGAAACCGTCGCCGTATCTGAGAATCGGGAATCAACAATACTACACCGTAGGGGCCTTGCTAATTTTTATCCGTTTAGTCAGCGAATATTGCGTTTGTTCCTACGACCTCCAGCTGTTGGCTCCTATGGTAGCCAAAAATTTAACGGATCTACTCAAGACGTTCAATTCGAGGTCCTGTCAACTAGTGTTAGGCGCTGGTGCTTTACGGACGGCTGGTATGTACGATTATTTCACGTTTCAATTCCGCACTAAACTCGTTTTATTGCAGGTTTGAAAACGATAACGTCCACTAACCTGGTGCTAGCGTCGAGGTCGTTGCAGTTCTTAGTGTGGACCATTCCGTTGCTGAAGGGGCATTTCAAATCGTTGACCAACGAGGCTTTGAGCGGGTTCGATGTGGTAGAGCAAGATTTGGGCCATCACATTCGACAATTAGAAACCAAAGTAGTGACTATAATGAATACTTTACTAGGCGATCAGTTGAACGAATGGGACGCCAAGCCGCCCGTGCCCTCTAAACAGTTTAGGAACATTTCCAGGCATTTGACCAAGTTGCACGAGGCTGTTAGCTTGGTACTTCCCCAAGGACAGGTACAGGAATTGTGTAATTAAAGGGTTTGTTAATTTTAATTGGTTTGTGTGTAGGTGACTGATTTGTACGAGGTGATTCACAAAAATTTCAAGAACCGCGTGAGGGACCAGCTGATGAAGATGAACATTCAAAATAACGGCGGGCCGCAGCACGGCGTTGTTACCACTGAAATAATGTTTTATCTCGAAACGATGAAAACTCTGAGAGTCCTTCCGGAGAAGCATCTCTCCGATAGTGCCATGGACGATATATGGATTAGATAAATTTGTATTAGTTGTTTAGGAGTTCGTTTTTACGAAGGGACTCGAGGTATATTTTCTACGGAACGCGATTTAGATTTGTCGTAGTTTTATCAAAATTACCGATACAAATAACCAATTAGAAGATACTTTTATATACTATTCATATCTATTGTAACTTAAAGTGTCTTGTACAAATCTGCATGAAGTATAGCTAGTTAACCGCAGCAGTTCCTAAGACTTTGAGTAAATAGAAGATAAAAGCGATTTCTAACGGTGTGTTCTGTTTTTAACTTGTGATATTTTTTCAACCTGTAAATATTAGTTTTCCAAAAATTAAGAGTTTATAGTCAGATAAATAAGGTTGTTGTTTTTGTTTTTATTTTGTAATTCTTTGTTGTTTTGTTTATGGTGATTTTGCGGGATAATATTAATATTACTCTATTCTCTGTTTAGAAAAATCCATATTTTCAAATTGCGCTTTATTCAACACTTGGAAAATATTTGTTGAGCTTTGTAAAAATGAATTGCCGTCAATCTGAATAATATGTTATAAGATATGAAAGAATAGGGGCGTGTTACTTGTGAATATCAATCAGTTGTACATAATTTTAACTTATTTTATAAAGTTGTTATATTAAACAAAATAAATCCAATTGCAAAGTATTAATTCCCCTAGTTGTTTTACCTGTCACGTTTCTCAAAGCGCAGAAACTATTTCTGTCGATAGATGCCATAATTTGGACCAAAGAACAAAATCATTTAGAACGCTCCAGAGTCGTCTAGAACTGAATTGAATCATTTAGAACTGGCACTCTCTTTAAACACTCTAGAACCATTTAAAACGCCCCCGAGTCATTTAGAACTGTCTATAAAACAATCTGGAATGCTCCAGAAACATTTAATCAATCTAGAACCATTTAGAACGCTCCAGAATCATCTACTACTGTCTAGAATCATTTAGAACTGGCTAGATCAATCTAGAACGCTCCAGAATCATTTAGAACTGTTTAGAACTATTTAGACTCGTTTTGACTAGCTTAACGAAATCGCTTATTTCTGTACCATTTACATTATTTATTCGAAGCGTATCCTTGTAATGAAAAGGCAGAGATTATGAACATGGATCAGAACAAAACCTTTTCCTCTTACCTTTTACTTCAAAGTAAATGATTGCTTCATTTTTATAAATATGGACTATTGCCTCTATTCATAGATTTGATCGAATTAAACAAATTTAAAGAAGTTATATCCAATTTATCGAACGACTACAAGCACATCAAATCATATTTGTTCCAGTTCGTCGGGAGTCAGTTCTTCACCTTTAGCAGCTTTAATGTACAAAGCGTTATTCGAAATAAACCTCGTGACAATTTTCCAGTAATTTTCGTGCCCGTCCACCTTGTGGTAATCCCTAAACGTATGGCATGTCACCTGAAAATTAATCAATTAAAAAGTCCAGCTAGCGCCGCTGTGTTAGTGGCCCCACCTGGATTTCCGATCCGAATAACGTAGCCAACAGCCTTTTATTTTCCAGCGCCATGTTCTGTCCCGAAGCGGAATGCTGTATGATGAGCGTGGTGTCAGGAGAGAAAGGAGTGCCGAGCGTTTTGTTGCGCAAAGCGGGATCTCCGTGCAAAAATTTGAATCTTAAAAACGCATCACTTGAGTACAAGTCGAGGCAACGCGAGTCGTTTAGCACCTGCAGTACATATCGGGATCTTGGGATAAATTGCAAACCAGGTGCAAACCGAACGTGGAGACCGTGCTATTTTCGCATTGCACGTACAGCGGTGGACCCGAACTCTCGGATATTTGAATCAAAACGTCCTCTCCCAGCAGTACCTGTTGCCCGTCTCTATGGGTCGACGCTCCTTTGATCCTGCAGATCATAATTAGCGCGACGGGCGCGATAGAATCCGGGGAAACTTACATGAAGGTGTTTCTAACGCACGGATCCTGCATGGAAGTGGCTGTGACCCTACAGCCGTGCTGAAAGTGCAACACTTTATCGATTTCCTTTTCGTTAATAGTCGCCGCTAGGTACATCCTTCTGTTCATGAAGTCTCTGACGAAGCAAGAGGTGAATTGGTACTTTTCACCGAATATAACGAAGCGCCTTTTCAGCGCCAGCGTCGTGGCTTTGAGCACGTTCCTGTACATCCTTCTCGTTTTTTGCACCAGCAATTGGCATTTGTCGCGCTTGTGCGCCACGACGCGCATGTTGTCCTCTTGTATGGCCTGCTCGTCGAACCAGAAACCTCAAATTGTTAAACGACAATCGATGAATTGCTTTTTTTTCGCCATCGAAACGTACCTACGTGCACCACCGGGTTGGAATAGGCGACTTTCGGTTGAAACACCCTTTCCCTTTCGTCGATCTCCAGCTGGGTAGCTTTCTTCATCATCTTGTCGACCGGGGGGGAAATATATTAAAGCTCGTTAAATAGAAAAAAAACCACTGACAATTCACATTCGAACATCTGTTATTTTGACTTAATATTCCGCCAATATAATATTTGAAACGTTGGTTTTTGCCAGCGAGAAATTCGTTTGCGTGAGCCAGGCAATTAGGTTGTATTACATTTTGAATAATTCGGATTAATTAAAGTCGGTGCGGTAGGTATAACTTTTTAATGGCACTTGTTGCGTGAATTATAAATATTACAAACGAAATTTACAAGTACTTAACATGTGAATAAACTACTAATATTTATATGTAACAAAAGTATTTCTCTATATGCATAAAAAACTAACAACAGGATATTAAAATTTCGTCAGTGAAAAACGGACGGATTTTCGTAAATTAAGAATTTGTGGCGGTGGAATTTTATTCCAATAAAATTTTGTTTTTTGGACCTGTATGTTTTATTTAAAAGAAATAGTTATTTGGAATAAAATTTATTGCAGCCACCATTATAACTCGTTACTGCGGTACGTTTACATTACGTACCATTTAGTGGAGATTAAATTTGTCGTTAAATGCTAATATTTGTGTTGCTACTTACGTCGCAGAAAATAAAAATGAATACAAAATTTTAAATTCTTAAATTACACAGATATATCCACAATTGTATCCTAATGATCTACGTACTGTAGTAAGCCTTCTTCATTTGTTGAGATAAGTGGCAAGCAAACCCGATTCCGATCAACTAAAAAAAACCTTAGGTTAGTAAGAATTCGTGCAATTAACGAATTTAAATATTCACCTGCAAAACTGCCAAAGTGAAACAAACTGCTCCGATATCAACAGCATGTACTTTCACCCAACTTCCGAAGGATTGAGCACAGCCCTCCGGATAAGGAATTGTTGTAGAAGAAGGTAAAACAGTCGTCGTCGTGGAATTTGCATCTGCAATATTTATTAAAAATTATACTTCTACACTAAAGAAATATTGCCAACCCGAATCGATTAGCCTTTCTTAATTCCCAAAATAATTTATTTAACAATTTATTCGTACATAGTCACCAAAAAAGTTTACATCACCACGCAATGGTTACGCATCTCCAAAAAGACCAATATTAAAGAATTAGTGCAATTAATCCGGTGCATTTACTTAGCTATATGCCTTACCAACATTTGATGCAGACGGTCTCGATGAAGACGTAATTGTTGAACTAGTAGGTTCAGGAGAACTATTTCCAACAGTAGACGCGGAGATTGAAGTTTCAGTAGCATTACTACTCATAGTAGCAGTAGCAGGACTAGCATTAGTATTTGCAGATCCTTCACTATGAGTATCATTTCCAGCATTACTGTTAACTGTTATTAAAATTAGTGTTTATATCCAAAAAATAACAAATTTGTTAATACATTTTGGTTAATCATTAGTGTTAGTACGTACATACGATCGTATTAAATGAATCAAAAGAAGTGTCGATGTAAAATTTCATGGTAACTTTGTTTACTTTTACAACGCAGATTAGCAGTTCTCCTCTACCTTTGAGAATACTTATTCTCACCTTCTCTCTATTATAAATACCTACCAACAGAGTCACTTTAAGAACTCATGATGGTGAGAACTTCTCTCACGATAGGAGTAATACATGTAATTTTGTTTTTATTGATCTCGCCCAATTCCTCTTGCACTTGCAAATACGTCAATAGCATTAATGTTTTTGTTAGTACCGTACATCAGAAAAATATGTTAAATATGAAAGCAATTACGTGCTCTATTATTAGTTCCCTTATCACGCTGCACTCTCTACATGCAAGTATAACAACAGAAGTAAATAATAATAATACCTGCATTAACTTGAACCTGCCGCTTTCGAATGGCTTTATTAGTATTTGAATCTTCATTAGGTTTCTGAGTGCTCGCCTTGGTTGCTGGTTTCTCCGTAGACTGAGTTGGTGAAATCTTGCTACAAGTAAAGGTGCCCGTAGCACCTTCCTGTCGTGGACAACAAGATATCGGTAATCGTGGATCCGTGGCATTCCAGTCGTTTAAGCTTGTTACACCGCAACATTTAAACTACAAAAATCCAATATTAGCTCGCACGCTGCGTTAACAAACACCAAAATTCATATACATTATCTTGGATGGTATCCCACATGTGCATGGCGGGCTGCTTGCCCTGCTGATACTCCTGAATCGTGTCCTTCATCGACGATTCGAGGAAACCCTCCGTTTTGTCCCTCAGAACGTAACCGGCGATACCGGCGGAAAATTCGAATATGAAAATGACACCCAGCAACACCGAGAACTATCGACAAACGAGAAAATAATTGAGCTACTCTATGGCTGATGGAGTTAGGTTGCTTACCAGCAGGAGCATGATCCAGCTGTTCTTCACGGCTCCGTAACATCCTAGGAAACATATGAAAAATATTATGGAACCGGTGGCGATCAGCAGATTCGGTAAAGAGAAGTAATGGTTGCTCAGGAAAAAGTTGTACTCTAGGTAATTGGCGTGTATCGACGCTCCCACCGCAATCAGAATTATCCCCGTTATCTAAAACCATACAAAATAATGAGATAAGAGCGAAATATGATACACAAATAAACATAAAGTAAGAAATATGTTATTTTCAGAACAGTAATGATCCGGCAATTTTCCCGCTCGATTATTTCTATTTTCTTTCCCTGAATGATTACCTACGTCCTAGAAAACAAGCGGCGTAGGTAAGTAAAAATCAATGTTCCCTTTGGAAACGTGCTAATATTTCATGGAAAATTTCGTGAGCGTCGAATTACTGGGAAACGTAGAAACCCCGTTGTTTGTACGTTTTTCTTTTTAATTTTTTAAATATGGCCAAAGAATTTTGTATGCCCGGTGTGTTTATTAATATGTGATGCGACCGCAAGGTTACATGAAAGTGACGAACACTGAAAATATTGATCAGATATCATCGAAATATAATGCTGCAGGTTTGATGATCGATTGACTGATTCACTGACTGATTAAATATTTTTACCTTAGATCATCCAAGATAAAATATATATTTCGAGCTTGCAAGTTTTTTGTAACATTGCATAAATTATTGTTAAAATTCTTTTTTGATATCTTTTATTTTTTATTACTTACGATCAATATGTGGAGTAAAGAATATGAAAAGGGATATGTTTGTGTTACGTGTCCGAATGTTGTATTTAATCCTTTAAAGGGCAAATGTAGGTAAGACCTACATTGTAATGTAAATAATCAATATTGCACTAAAGAATCTACAATATAACTTATGTATAGAAATTGCTGACGAAATGCATTTGATAATGAATTAATGATGATTTATGGAACAAAAAACATTTAAAATTTAAGATGAATAAAATGAACATTTGAACAATATTAGCGGTAAATCAGATATGATCCTTTGTTTTAATTTATCAGTTTGCAAGCGGTTTGTGCTTATTTTTCATACTTTATTTTAATTTTCAAACGAATAGTAATATTCAAATGATAATACTTGGAAAGAAGGTTCAAGTATGACACATTTTAAAATAAATAATTCTTATCTTTAGTGCGAATTTAGTTGATAATAAATATCTAGAACTAAAAATTCAATCGTAATAATTTAAGGTAGCGGAAATATTTTAGAAAGATATTTTTTATTTTTATTAAGTATTTATAAGATAATCATATGCTAGTGCTAGATTATTATAGCAGAAGAATAATTCTTACACAATATTACACATTATACCTACACATAAAATAAATAGTTGAAACCCTTTGATAAATATTAACAGAGTTATCACAGTAAAAAATGTGATAAAGCCTCCATTGTGAGAGTATGACAAGCATGACAAAGATAACCCATTAATTTTTTCATACAAAAATTATTTAGATACCTATTATTGATTATATTCAGTTCATCGCACTTACCTGCTGCAATGAAATAAATACTGCTTATTGATATTATTAAATTGAGTGCATAAAAATACAATTAATAGGTCAAACTATTAAATTACATCCACAGCTCCAGTTTCCATAAATTTACAATCTGCTCGTTAACGAAAATCCTAATAAATCGACCCACTCGTTCTATTTCCGAACAAAAATAATCGTTAAACTTAGCAGAAACGCGAAAACTAATATATTATTTGCTAAAGAAAAAAATGATCGAAAGAACAATATGCAGCTAAATATTAGTTAAATATTTATAATAGAAAGGTTTGGAACTTAATTAAACCTTTAGTAAATTACATCTATTGTTTTTATATTTATTGTAGGTACATTATAATGCGCAATGCGTAATTCGCATTTTAAAAGACCGGAACATGAATTGAAACTCGATTTTAGTTTGAAATTTAATCCTTTATGGTAGGAAAATTGTTAAAAATAGTTACTTTGCAATTTGCACGCGATCTGAATTGAAATGCTAATTAGATAAGTAATTGTATGCAGACCTAGACCTATATTATAGGCGACATTCGGGAAATTCAATCGAAATTGAATAACGCTAATTAATATAATGTTTTTTTAATGAGCAGGGGTACCTGAGAGATGAACCCAGACAAATGACAAACATGATAAAATTAGAAAAAAGTAAATAAACGTATTTTTGTTATGGATAAGCATAAAAATAACAGGTACACAGGTAGTTTATCCTTAAAAAAATTAAATTGGGTGAAAATATTCAATTATTATTCAAATGTAATAGAGAAGTGAGGTGTAAATTCAAAAATAAAGCAATTCGAACATGTAAATACATAAAATAGAAAAAAAACCACTTAAATTGATCTAATTTAAATTTAATTATCCTGTACTCGTTTGTTGTAATCACTTCTATTAATTATAAATAAAGTATACAACAAATTTTAATAAATCTGGAAATTATTCATATAAACCAAATTCCCATTTATTGAAATCGGCTTTATCTACCGCCAATGCCAAGACATTGAAGCTTATTGATAAACCCGCGTAAATTAATGCGTTTTAATAGTACAACATAAGGTAAAGTGGATAATATCTATTCTATTTCCACATATTTTTCGAGTTACGCTCGACGAACGATATTATTTTGTTCGTATAACGAAAATAATTTTCATTACCTAGGCATGTCCGCACCGACAAGGTTACAAAGAATGATTGTTTACATAACGAAATTCGTTTTATAAACTAATTTTTAATGCACACATTTCTGCCAATAACGTACACACGATGATATAAAACAGGCATTATACTTACCGCGAAAAAGAAATTGAAACTGAATATCAAATATTTAATAGTCCTCGAACCACAAGACAAATTCATTTTCGGTATCGGTGTATCTACTTATGTTAAAACAGGTTTCCGAATTAAACTTTTACTTTCCTCGCGAGCGGACTCCGTGTACCTGAGAGGTGTTTCGCGACGAGGTATCGCGTTCGTTTCACTTTTCGAAATAATTTCAGAATTTCGCTGATCAATTTCAAGCGAGGAGCGAATATCTCCTTATCAGATAAGCGGACGGCCCGATACTGATAAACTAATTAAAGCTTCGCAATCTTAGCAATTAGATAGGCGACTTAACACGTATGTGCTCGCATCGCAACTTTGAAAATTCGGTCGGAAACGTGGAACGCTGATCGATTCTATTTCGCCGCGCCACCACTATTCAAATTTATTTGTTTGTATTCGTTTCTGCATACACTTTCGTCCTATTTTCAAAATTTTGACTGAAGCTTATGCAACCCCTTTTACACGCAAATACGCTATTTGCTATTTTGCGTAAAATACAGTAATTAGTCTAATAAATCATATGAATGAAATAAAAACAACAAAAAAATACAATTTACATTAACTTTACAATAAAAAATAGTATAATAATAAAAAAAAATACTAAATAACCACTTGCTCCAATTGTTGAGGCCACAACTATTAAAGTCAACAAGTTAAAAAAAGAAGATTTAAGGTTAAAGTTGAACATCAAAAAGTCAAAAGTAGTAAATAAACATTGCTGCAATGAAAGATACGAAAACCTTATTAAAGGAAGCCCGAGAGGCTATAAAATCGAAAGACTACAACTTAACTTTAAAAATCTCCAAAACGATTCTAAAACAAGACAAAACCAATTACATGGCGTTAGTATTTTTAGGTTTAGCCTTACAGGAGGTAGGACCTGTTGAGCAGGCTTCGAAGGCCTTCCAAAAGGCTATAGACTTGACTCCCAGCAATCCTCTGGCTTGGAACGGTCTAGTGAATTATTACGAAAAATTAAACACGGAGGAATCGAAGGACAAGTTAGTGGAGTTGTATATTTCAGCACTTGAGGTAGAAACTAATCCGAAGAAGATGATAGAGTACTGTGAGAAATTAAGTGAACTTCACGAGAGAGGCGACGTATCGAAGATAACTGCAACAATATTTAATTGTGCCAATAGAGCTGAGGGTTGCTCGGGGCAAGTGTACGAAGTGTTGGCTAAATTGTATGAAAAATTGAAACAAGTTCCGTCCGATTTACAACCGATATACGAAGAGAGTTTTCAAAAACTGCTAGGAATAAGGGAATTCATGAAAGTGGAATATTTTTCTGCGTATTTGAACGTATTATATCAACAGAATAAATATTTAGAAGTCTTTGAAAACGCGGAAAAAATGTCCATGGTGTTCGAAAGGGATACAGTATCATTGACATGGATGTGTAAAATTTACAATCAATCTTTCGTTGAGGAGTCTAATCTACATGCTAATTTCAGTGAGAAGATTGCAGATTATTTACCTAAATTACAAAAATTAGATCCAAAGAACGTCGCTGGCTTATTTTCTAAAAGCATCCAATTGTTACTAGAAAACGATTTAACAGAAACGAAAAACATATTAAAAGAAGTGTGCGCATTAAGACCAGGTTTAATCCACGCTTGGGTATTATTAACAAGCACTTACCTAAAATTACATCAATTCCAAGACGCTCTCCAAACTTGCAAATACGCTAATAAATTACTAAACTCTGGTAAATACACCAACGCAATTCTTCAGAAAATTATAGACAATTTGTATTTGCAGTTATTAGCGAAATCCTCCAACAAAGATGATTGGAATGAAGCAATAGATATATACTTAAATATCAAAGACAAAAGTACTCGAGAAAACAACTTGGAACATGTAATTTGTATTTATATCAAAATGGAAGAGTTTACCGAAGCATCAGCATTACTAAAAGAATTAGAAATGATTGATCAAAACAAGGCGATATTTCTACAAGCGAAATTGTTACAAACTCAAAATAATTACCGTGAATCGTTAGATTTACTAGAAAGAAACTTCCAAGAAACTTCCGAATGGCTGTGCGAAATCGGCACAAATTACTGGCATTTAGAAGACCTGAAGAACGCTTTAACACATTTTCTAAAAGCAGCAAAATGCGACGCCAATAACTACATATGCTTCTTCCACCTAGGAAACTATTACCAAAAAATCGGAGACTTCGACAAAGCGCGACGATGCTACGAAAAAGCTTATAGCTTGAACAAATCCTCTCGAGAAGTGGCCATCGAGCTGAGCAAAATGTACAGCAAATCGCGAAACTGGGAAGCCGCCCAAAATTTATTGCTCAATCTAACAGAAGGCCCGATCAACGAAACAAACTCGTGGGCTTGGCTGCAACTGGGCTTGAGCTATTTGGAGCAGGAAGAGTACTCAAAGGCCATAGAAAAATTGCAATTCGTCGTTAGAGTAGAAAAAGAAAACACCTACTACTGGCAGTGCTTAGCGGATGCCTACTTTGCCAGAGGTTCGTACATCTCGGCTCTCAAGTGCTACGAAAAATCGACCGAGTACACCGAAAACACTCTGTATCCTTCCTTGCAAATAGCAAACATTAAACACACTTTAAGAATCTACGATGAAGCCAGATGCGAATTCATGGAAATCCTCTCGAAGAACGAACGATACATTCCAGCCTTGAAAGGCTTGGCTGAGACTTCATTGAACCAAGCCTGGGAATGCTATAGGGCTCAAAGACTGGGAACTGCTAGAGATCACGCCCAATCAGCAATCGACAATTTGATTGTAGCAGTTAAGGAAAGAAATAATTTTTCATGCCTGTGGAAACTCATCGGTGACACTTGCCTGTTCGTAACGAACCTACCGGAAAAACACCGGCATCTTTCCATCACCGAAGCTTTAATGGAAGGCAAATCCACGATAAGAACTGAGGATCTTTTCTCTTTGAGCGCCAGTTGTTACTGCAGAGCCATAAGCCTAACTAGCGATAATATTCTCATATGGCACGACCTATCGAACTGCTACCTAAAACACGCTTTACATCTTACCGATAAAGAAAAGAGGAACACCCTATTTACCTACGCGAGTGCAGCTGCGACAAATTGCTCGGAAACCAACCCCAACAATTGGCAACATTGGAATTTACTGGGAAACATATCGATGTACCAAGATAATCCGAACTTTGCGCTGGCCCAACATTATTTCATTAAAGCCGTCACAGTGGAAAATAACAATCCCATCTCCTGGTGCAATTTGGGCGTTCTGTACCTCATGATGGATGACATAAAACTGGCTAACAAAGCATTCGCTCAAGGCCAGAGGTCCGATCCTAATTTCGTCAACAACTGGATAGGGCAAGCTTTAATAGCGGAAACGCTCGGAGTAGAAGAAGCTATGGACTTATTTAGACATAGGTATAAAAAGAGTGTTAGAAACTTTAGACTTGCTAGCCTCTTTGCGGGAATTTTTATGTTATACTATGTTATTCTAGTGTTCAACTGAGTCACCATCAGCAAGGAGCCCTGGGTTACGGGCATTGGGTTTGCCAAACACTATTGGATGCTCCGCAAAAAACAATCAGCTACTCGATAGAAGGAATGCACGCTGTACCAGTCGCTTGCGATGCACTTGAGTGGTTCACGGAAATCGAAGAAGATAACAGCTGCGCCTGGAACATGTTGGGAATCCTTAAAGAAAGATTAAAACAGAATAAAGGTAAAAAGATGAGTGTATATGTGAGTGTTTTAATCACCAGTAATTGTTTTTTAGGTAGTTTGGAAGCCTTCAAAAACGCCTACAAATTGAAAACAAACTGCGATTTGGTGCGAGTTAATTACGGGCGACTGTTGTACAAACAAAACGAGTACATAGGCGCTATTAAAACGTTCCAAGAAGTGCAGGCGGCTACGTTCAGTTCCGGCAGCGGTCTAGCTTTGTCCCTGTTCAAAAATCATAACTACGAGGAATCCTACGCGGCTTACGAGCAAGCCTTGCACTGGCTGACTGAAGAGCAATCGCATCAATCCGAACTGTTAGTAGCCCTCGCTTCGATGGCCTACATGTTTCAAGGATCAGAAGGAGCTAAAACGTTGCTATTTCAAAGCATACAACTCAAACCGCCCTCACCTTGGGGTTTATACGCCACGTTGGCTCTCGGTTTGATACACCAAGACATGGAATTGGCCGAGCTCGTGTTGAAAGAACTGGAGCGTTTTAAGGACGATCAACGCTGTCTTTCGCATTACGCGATTCTGTTGGGTACGATGCTGTTGAGGCAAGAAAAGCCCGATAAAGCGATTAGAGAGTTGTCGAAATTGGTGCACCGCCATCCTAATAATTCAGAGGTTTGGTTGACATTGGCTGTGACTATGCTCAGGGTGAAAAGCGAACGTAAGCGTGCCGTGACGGCGGTGAAGTGTGCTCAAATCGCCCTCGAAAGCGGAAAAACTAAAATGGACGTTACTAAAAATCTTAGTTACGTTTCTTTAGGTTATTTGTTGGCGGGAGATGCGAAAAGAGCGCTGGTTTCTGCTCAAAAAGCTATTTTTTGTTATCCGAATTTGGCTGATGGTTGGGCTTTACTTTCGGCTATATTGGTGCAGACTAAAATTAAATCTCACGACGATTTTATGAGGAAGATTTTTAAGTATATTTATGATTTAAATCCTACAGAGTTACTCATGAATTGGTTAAAAAGGTTACAAAAAAGTTTGAATCAAATTTGAAAATGCCCAATATTTGTTTTAATTTTTGCATTTGATGTACGTGACGAATGTTTACACTTATTATTGAATAAAAACCTATTGAAAAAATAAACAGTATTATTATGCAACTATTTACTATAAATTTACTTAATTTAATATTTTACAATGGGCACATTTTGTTATATCAACATTTTTTCCTAAAATACTCGATAATTCGTTTTGTAGCAATTCGTGCAATGTATTATAATCGTGTTTATAGATCCAAAAACTTCCATCTTCAACAAAATCGTAACGTTTCGGACCAGATGTCGGGGAACTTAACCAAATTTGTTTATTCGGAGACTGTCTATTTATAACATATGTGCCATATTTCCCTAAGTTTACTGTTAGAACTCCTCCACTGTACGACACATCTCCTGCTTTTAACACGTCGTTAGCTTCAACGACTTCTTCAAAGAAATCGGTCAACGATTCCAATGTTTCCTCACAGACTTTCTCGAATGTTGTGGGATCCGTTTCTTTGAAAGTTATTGCAGCTTTCTTCGAGAAATGTTGATGCGATCCTATTATAGATGGTTTTACAATTGGGAGTTTTCCAAGCACAGCGTAATTATTACACTTGTATTTGTTTCTTGAGTATGTTCGAAGATTATGTATGTTTTTATATTTACATTTTAACCGCCCTAGAATTCGTAACATCGTTGAATCGTACTTATTTTGATATAAAAGTATTATTTAATTTTTAATCTGGATATTTGACTTATTTAAAAATAAATAACACAAAATTTCTTCATGGACATAACCTATAAATTTTTTTTTTTTTAACAGATATTGTCTGAATACATAAAGATACGGAGGCCATGAACATAAAAACTGCCTGTCAAAGCTGTCAAAAATTCTAAGAAATTTCAACAATAAATGTACATCAAATAAACTATGAAAAATAAATAAATCGTGAGGAATTAAGACGTAAGAATCACAACATTTCATATTTCAGTAATATTAAAATCAACTATTTTGACGCAGAATGTATAAACTAAACCCAGCCGGTGTGAAGAAAACCCATCTAACACCCTGTAGAAGAGTCGGATTATCAAGAATATCAAAAACTCCAAACACTCCAGCCTCTGATACCAAAAAGATACACTCTGATAGTACTCCAGTGAATAAGGTTAAAGCTGCCGCAAGTACAAAATGTTCTCCTCAGCCGGATAATTTAGAAAGTTCACTGTCTGAAGCCTTAAAAAGTGAACCAGTTACAAAAAGCCCTCTTTTAAACAGTACAAATGAAACCAGTAATTTCACTAAATCATCTAAACCAGAAACAACAAAAACCAGTATTGGAAATGGTACGATAAAGGCTCAAGTAACACCCTGTAGAAGAGTGGGATTAACACGAAAATCAAGAAATCCAGATACTCCAGCTTCTAACTCGAATAAACTATCATCTGTCTCAGACTTTAATACTCCTGTTAATAGAATCGAAGCTGTCATGGACACGAAATGTACGCCCCAATTGGACAACATGGCAAGTTTACAGAATAATAGTGTGAAAAATGAGCCAGTTGCAAAAAGAAACCTTAACAACCGCTTTAACGTAGAAAGCCACCTTTGTAGTACTTTATCTAAGAGTACAGATGAAGTTAATAATCTATCTACATTGGATGACTCCAAAATTGAAGATCGTAATCCCTCTAGTTGTATTAAAGATGAAAGTAATGAAAACCAAGAAGATCTAAGGGAAAGTTGCAAAAGACAAAATCCAAATGATAGTGATACTCGAGAAGATGGAATTAAAAAAGTTTTCATAAAACAACTATCGAATTATATAGTTAGTATACCTAAAATTAGCGAGGAAGTTATTGATAGCTATCAAACAAAATTTATGGTGGATCTAAGTGAAACATTTGCGTTAACGGAAAAGAAAGCAAGCTCAAACTATGATTCGGACGATGATTTTCAATGTACCCCTCAGTGGGAAAGGAAATTAAGCCGTCAAACTTCTTCCCAAACGAGTTCACCGATAATCCCAACGAAAAGAAAATTAAAAGCTAAATGCCCATTAAAATTTCTCTCCTCTTCTTCTTCAATCAACGAAGATGAGAACGCTTTTACTTCGTCGCCGGACACAGAATTACACGAGAAGAAAGAACTACTAAACAAAATTGCTGACCTCGAATCTCAAATCAAAACTAAAAGCCAAAAATTGGAAACATTGCGAAGAGCCTCCGTTTACAAATCAAAGCATAATATTGAAGAACTTAAAGCGCTTACAAACGTTTGGAAGAAAGGTTGTTGCTCTGCCCTAAACGACTTACTGCTTAAACTACAAAGTCACGCTCCTATAGAAATGCCAAAGTTATTACAAAATTTACACATACCACATGACATAGCTGCAAAAATATTTGAGGATAATTCTGATTAAGTTATAATTACTATGTGTTGCTAATACCTGTTAATTAAATTTAATCACTTATTGTTTGTTAATTTTCTCTAAATATTTCAAATTTTAAAATTAGACCCAAATGTCAAATTTGGCATATCAGATGTCATTACAAGTTGCGTTCATTGCTATAACACCGGATTTGTTTCAACGTGTACAGATCGTACTAGATCATCAACATTTTTTTCCATCATTCTTATGACAAATAGTTTTATAAATTTAAAATGATCACAGAAGTTACCTATATCTTAAACGAAACGATTAGTAACATTAGATCGTTCGAATTTTTTGATGTAAAGACTCCGGAAGATTTATACAAGTTGTTTTTCTTCTGTCACATATTTTCGTGGGCAGTGGTTTTATGGAAATTGAGAAATTGAAAATGGATCGACTCGCTTTATCACGTTTTATACCAATTTAATTCGATTTGTTAAAGATTTGAAAATTAAAGTTTGCAACACGTAACTGTTTATTTTTTGAAATTTTGAATTCAAATTTGACAAGCGCATGCGCTTTGACGATTAACTTGTCAATTCAACTGTAATCTAACCTAACATTTTTAAATTTGTTTACATTCCATTTTCCCATAATTAACGATATTATTTAATGAATTAATTGAAATGTGTGAACAATACATTAATAGTCTACATATTGAAAAATTAGGTACGTTTTATAATTAAAATACATTATTTTTTAACAAGTAGATAAAATGATTTTTAGGGCATAAAATACAGGAAATTAGAGAAAGGGCTCTACAAAACATTACATCAAAATTAGAAAATGGGGTACTATTCGATAATGACCTAGCCAGAAGCAAGGAACTTTTAAATAAGCTATTGAAATGGTTTTTATTCGAACCGTGCACTGAAGAAAAACACGTTATTGCACTTATAAAACGTGTTTTAAAAGTTCGTATATCGTAAACAATTTAATATATTTCTACTAAAACCATATTTTACAGTCCGAAAGCGGTAAAATCCTTATACAGCATACAGGAAAGGAATGCATCATCAACGAATTGGAGCAAATTAAATCATACATAGACCCCAAATTTTCAAAACAACTCGAAGAGCTATTAACTATCGTCAACAATATGAAAACTGAATTTGTAGTACCTCCTTTACAGTGCGATGTTCCATTAAGCTATAGATCTGGGCAAAGCGACAGCGACTGCAATAGCTACATAGGTACAACAGCCACTGTAGTAGAAGGCACATTCAGGAAAGACCATTCAGCCGAGCAGCAAACTAGAATAGAAACTCCTGTAGACAATGCATCTACTTATAGAATTGAAGACTGTGGTGCTTCGGAAATAAATAATTTTCCAATTAACATTTTCGAATGGCAACCGCTTATTGAAGCAGACAGGCACGTTTTAAACTCCGTTGAAAATTCTTTGATTAATCCAACTCAGCCTTCCTCCCTGTTACAGTCTTGCGATTTTTTTCGTAACGTTCTGTTGCACGATTTCCCAGCAGAAATTTTCCTGCAGAGACCTAAAATTGTTTTCGTAAGTTTCCAAATATTCAATAAATATCCGATATTGAATAGTAAATTTATTTCCTTTATTTTTAGGAATTCTTTTCTCTATTGAATTGCAAATCGACCAGAATTAACGAGGCTGTTTTAAATTGCTTATGTGATTTAACGAGTGATTTAATAACCCGAGTAAATCACTGTAAAGATCCATGTTTGCGGAACTTAAAATTACAGGTAAGAAATTCTTTTTAAAACACATCCAAGTTTTCTAATAAATGAAAATTTCAGCACATTGGAGATATTAGTTGTCCTTGTACACCTTCATCGACTGCAAACAAAGAATCCTGCAATAGAGACTTAATATCAGATTCTCGAGACAAATTCGAGCAGTCTGACCACGTTATCGGGCTTCAAAGAAACCAGATCACCATTTTGAAATACTGCTACTTGTGTGTGTTGCACGTTTTCAAATATTTGTGCGCTAAAAGAGAATCATGCAAGGATAGCAAACCGAAAACAACCATGGTAATATTGTAGTAACTTGAAGTTTTTTAAATGAGATTCTAAAGTTTTGTTCTATTGAAACTCCCTTTATAATAAGATTTATTCATATTTTCAGGGTGCTGTTAATCTTTCTTTGGTGTTATTAGATAAGAACTTAGAATTGATGTCTTTGTGTTTAGAAAATGAAAATTCCGAACACTTTTCCAAGACTTCTTTGGAACTATTCAAATTCGTCAATGATGTATTTATTTCGTATGGCACAGCACTAGAATATTTCAGGTAAAATATATTATCTACAGGGTACATTTAAATTAATAAACATGAGTTTTAGGGTGGAATGTCTTTCATCTGAAGAGAATATCAAATTCAGAGGAGTTTATTTGTGTTTGCTGCACCATTGCCTCGACGTGTTACAGCGTTTGACTCCTCATTCGAAAAGTATTACAGTTCTTCCCAGGAATTTGAAGTCTTCTTTGGCAAATTCGCTTTTGGATGTCACTTTTAGCCGGTTATATCCCACTGCTCATAACAGGATTTTAAATTTTGTCGAGGTGAGAAATCGATAAGTGCCTGTTATTGTTTATGCTCATAACGGAGATTTTTGCAGAATTTTTCGTTAGACGAAGATAAATCTCCTTTGAGTAAATACCGGGAGGTCAAGAGAATATGCCAAGGAATGTCAGCTACTGTAAAATTCCTCAAAGATCATAAAAATTTGGCAGCTATCGAGTGTTTTCAATTAGCCAATGACGCCTTACCAAGTGTAGAATTTCATAAGGATTTTGATTTTTTGAAGTTTTTTGTCGATCTCTGTGTTGAGACATATTCTCTGGTTTCAGAAGATTTAACTATGGTGACTGTAATTGAAGGTGGGTTGTAAATTAGTATTAGAGCATACAATTTAATGTAATTAATTTTTAGAAACTGTTTTATGTTTACTAAATCATTCAATGGACGAAGTAAAGCAGGAAATGTACCGGTTGTGCCACAAAACTGCAGTTTCCTACATCGGCCCGAAATTAAATGATACTACAGGAGTAGTAGGATCTCAAGTACAATTTTTGCTAACTTCAAGGATTCTAGTGGAGATCGCCTGCTATGGTTTAGATAGCGAAAATTATAATGTAAGCGGGTTGATTGGTGAAGTCTATTTTAATTGTACATATACTCTTATTTAGGTTCAGAAATACGCACTGGAAATTTTAACCTACATCCTGAAATGCAAACTAATCGTATCGGAGACCATTTGGAACAAAATAATCCAAGCACTAGTACCCGCATTGCCGATAATAATCTGCCAACTAACAAAGAACTGTATACTCTACAAATCGGTGGCTTCTTTAGTAGACCCGGATGTAGCCGCCCAATCGTGTCTACCCGCAGTTTCAATGTTGAAGTCTAACATTCAATTTCTATTCTTGGAGGATCCCTCATTAAGAGACGAGGCGTTTTCGCGCATTTGCTGGCTGCTGTCGTCCCAAGAAAAGGCCAGAGAGCTACTACCAGGATTTAACGCCCTTTATGATACCTCTTTGGTCGGAATTTTTAGGAGCAAAAAAATGTTGGACTTGAATAAAATGCGAAGAACCGAACATTTTTATCAGGTGGGAATACATTTAGAACTTAAACAGAATATAAAATAATGTACGAAGTTTTTCAGCCGAGTAGTTTACACCAAGTGCTAGAGGTGATAAATTCGTGCAATGTCGAGCCGGTAATAAAGAGATCCGCTTTGAATCAAATCAGCGTGATGATGGAAGATACTTTGTTGCATCAGATTTTCTTGGATGCAGGCGGTGTGAAATTGGTTGTGAATATCATGAAAAGTGCCTTGACCGAAAAGGACTACAACGATTACCCAGATTCGTTCGTACCTGTGGTATCCATATTGAAAAATTTGTGTTTGTACCATAACAACGTGAGGGAAGAGCTGAGTGGAAACGAGGAGGTTTTGTATTTCATTTTAAGAGGTATGGAATATTTACTATATTTTTACCAGGTAATATCAGTTAGTTGTATTTTTAGGACTATTTCTGTTTTTCACCGAAGAGAGATTAAAACAAGACGCCGTGATTCTTCTGCTTCTTTTGATCTTCAAGGATCTGATATGGGGCAGCCCGTCCAGGGCTAATTTTAGTTTGCCTAAAATTGTAGTAGAAAATATGAATCTTCCCTTCGTTTGCAATGCTCATTGGAGCGTAAGCGAATACACGAAATGCAGTTTAAAAGGTACTTTGAAAAATGTTGTTTAATTATTAATCAGTAATAATTTTTCAGATAAAATCACGTCGGATCGATGGAGCTTATGCTCGATTCAGATACAATGGAACGCCGAAATATTTGGTGGTTTCGATAAGCTGATGAAATGGGACGAAATTTTGTACCAAGATCATTCTAGCGCTTATAATTTCGTCGAATTCTTGAAATTGAGCAAATACGATTTGAAGTGCATCAAGAATTCATCCATCAATTACTGTATATCGTTGTTTTTAACAGACATTCAAAATGCCACCTCGCATTGCTCTGTAATACAAGCTTTAGATAATCTAGCAATGTAATAATGTAATTATGATAATTGGTATTTAAACTGATTTTCTCATTTTTTAGATACATTCAATTATACAAACAGTCTTCTCAATGCAACGAATCAGAGTCCAACGAAAGCATCACCGATCATCCATGGGAAAAAACCTTTATCAGGTTTTTAAAAGTTTTACCATCTTGTGACGATGATATAGTCGTGTTAAAACGGGTTATTCAGCTACTCTCCACCTTAGTTACTTATTACAACTTTTCGGGTACGAATAAATCTTTCTTTAAATAAATTATAAAACTAATTCGTTTGAATTTTTAGAGGGCGATTGTTGGATATCTTCTTTATTGAAGGACCACACCAACAGCTTGCTAGACGTATTAGTGGTAGATGATAATACTGAAAGCGATATGAAAACTATAGCTAAAGAACTTTTAACGTTAATATCCGTTTGCGCCAGGCAAGAGCAACATTACATCGATTATTATTTACCCCATCAGAGCAACGACAGGAAAAGTTGGATTTATGTAATTAAAATAATCGCCTGTAATATCAAGGATAGTGGAAAACGGCATTTTTATAATTTAGGTAAGAGGGTCTTTAATAACCCGTTTATTCAGTCCACGTTTCAATCGAGTACATCTCATTTTTCAGCATATTTGGACTCGCTATTATCTTGCCTGGTGCAATTAACTGCCTCGCTAAGTTGGAGCCAGTGCAAAATGGGTTCAACGCTAGCGGAACCATTGCCACAAATGATTGTGAACCTTTGCGAACTCATCGAAGCCTTCCATTCGGGAAAAGGGCCCACCGCTTCCGTGTCTGTGATGGGTTTGAGCATTACTCGGCACGTTTTGCTCGTTCTCAACCACGTTTTAGCCGAAATAAAGAACTCCAAATTGAAGGTAGTTTTATAGAATTAAGGTATTATGTAATAAGAGTATGTATTTGTTTTATTTAAGAATTGGGAAACGTGTTTCTTCGATGATGTAGACAATCACAACAGAGTCCTGAGCTTCATAGCTTTGTGGGCTAGTAGAGATGTAGTTCTGAGAGCGGCTTCGCTACAGTTTTTCTCCGGTTTGACGTTGTCTGCTCGAGCAGCAATCGAAATTGTTCACCGTAAGCATTGAGTGTTGGAAAATGTATTGTTTACAAGTAACAATCCTGGATATTTTCCAGAATTAACGACCGAAAGTAGCTGCATCTTGGATTTAGCGTTGAGAGTTCTCACCGATTATAAGGAATCCAACGCCGTTAGAGGAAACGCGGCGGAGTTGCTGTCGAATTTGGCGATGCATTCCGTTCCTCTAGAGATCGATAAGACCGATGGTGCGAATTTCGCACTCAAAAAGGTACTAAATTTTGTATAATCTACTCATCGATTATACTACAACATATTTGTTTTAGAGCTCTACTATGACGCTCCTCGATCTCGTCGACCGGTACGATTTTTACACCAGCTTGGAGATTATTTTTATGGAATTGTACACGTTGAATTACCCTCCGAAAAAATCGAAATATTTAGACAGTAAGTGGGAGAATATTGCAAGTATCCTTTGATTAATTTCGTTTGATGTTTTAGAAAAGTGTCCTTCCGAATCGGATAAATCCTGGACTAGTTCCAGCGAGGATACTTTAAATAATGTGGTGTCGTCGACACCTTGTTTAGTAAAAAATGTTTGTAATTTTTTGTACAACCTCGTTTATTTGAATCCCGGCGAGATCAGCCAGAAAATGCACGATAAATGTTTGGTGAAATTATTATTCAGGTACACACTTAACTTGTTAATTACAAACTTTATTCATTTATGCATTTTCAGAACCATCTGTAATCCTTGCATGAGTATTACAAATACCAGGGAATTGTCCCTATACTGCGATATAATCGAAATGGACACTGCAGTGTGCTCGGTTCTATTACGATTGGCTACTTGTAATTCAGCGTGTTTGGGGACAATTTTGCATACGAGGGATTGTTTGAACACCTTAATTTCTTTATTGAATCCTAAAGCGTTCAGTAAGTATTCTATTTTATTCAAAACAACGCATTTTACAATTGTATAATTCACCTCTAAGTAACCGGAGCATCGGATGATTTATTTCGATAAAGTAAATTCCACTTCGTAACAACCTAGTTCAGTGGCTTCGGCGCTTTTCGGGAAAAATTCCGATCGTATTTTCAAAGTACCGGGCGGAAAATCTCTGTATTTGAATTTAGAGAAGTCCAACGGATGATTGTGTATCTCGTATTTGCCCTAAAACAATTCATTTAGTCGTGTAAATGTTAAATTTTCAGAATCATTACCGCCGGATAAGGGCAGGTTTGTTTGAGCCCCGCTGCATTTTCTAAACTTTTTATGAAATCTCCCAGGAACATTTCGGTGATTTTACACGTCCCATCTGTTTTGTTTATAAATAGGTTCCATTTGTCGCCTTCTTTTTGATAAATTAGTAGTCTGTTCTAAAATAATAAAAAATTACATAGCGAATTTCATCCTAAACTAATCGAGTTTGTATTTACCAGTACATCATTATCGATATTAACTTTCGAGTCCATAGCACCCAATGATATAATTTGATCGTCTGCGGAGTCTTGTAGTTCAACTTTCCACATGATAGGATACTCTTTTTGTTCACATAATTGTATACTGTCTATGTGAACGTGAGCATCGATCGCCTGAAAATATCATTATAACTGCAAATTACATTATAAAAAATTGTAATACTTACTTTTAGAAGTGCTAACACTACAATATATTTCACAGCGTGTGCCATTTTTTTTATACGAATAGTTCAAACTCACTACGCGTTTTTATATATTATTCTACTCAATGATGGGTAATTTAGATTACAGAAAATAATTTCGAACTTCCCTCATTACTAATTACAATTTTTTTCCTAATCGAAAATGCGAAATTAAGCGCGACCTCTACCAACAGGAAATGTCCATCTAGATTTATCTAATTCGATTACTAATCGATTTCAGACACGGGACTGCCTCAATTGCTCTACCTCAGGAACAAACTCTGGATATCCGTTTTTAATTTACTCCTAACGTTGGTCGAATTCAGCGGCGACGCCGAGAATCTTTCGGTGGAAAAATCGGTGGAAGTCGTGGATATTCTGCTGGGTACTGTGGAAGATTTGAGCCGCAGCCCTTTCGTAGAATGCATCTGCGAATCGCTCAGTAGCCTCGGCGCGTGCGGTGAGATCGAAGCCAATCAACAATCGACTTTATAATAATTATAATCGTCTCGTGTTTTCCAGACCTTCAAAACGCCGCTTTGAATTTTTTGATCTGCCTTTTGCGAGTGGAAACCATCAAGTATTTCACGGGCACTGGCAGTACCCAAGAAGTTTCGCTCAAATCTGTGTTGGATAACGTGAAAACGTCGCGAAGTGTCGTGCTATCGGACAGCAAGACCTGCCCGAAGACTGCAAAAAAATCGCTTGATACCCGAAAAATCAACGTACTGGAAGAGATTTATTTCGGCAAGGTTTTCGTGAAGACGAACGAAGATAATTGCGATGACGTGCAAGTTAGCATCGTAGAAAATGCGGACGATGGCTTGATTACGGGCGCGGAAATTTGCAAAATTCTGCTGTTCTTGTACGATTTAAGTAATTTAAAGGACACAAATGTGTATTCGAAGAAGAAAGCTTTGATAACGAAAGCCCTGTCGAGTTTGCTGTGCATTTCCAACGAAGCTAAAACGTATGCTTTAGAAAAAAAATTGGTGCAGTTTGTAATGAAGCAATTTAGGGATTTATACGTGCGTTTGAGTTTAGAATCTGGTGAGTAAATTACTTTCTTACCACCTCAAATTACTAATTATTAATTTTTGTTGTAGTTGAATGTCTCAGAAGAGCGTCAGAGAAGAAAAGAGTGAGTCCCATGCTTAGAGAAATCGATGACTTGGTTTGTTTAATGACCAACTTTATGGTTGAGAATGAAAAAGTTAAAGTCGAAGCGGCCGCTTTAAATTTACCCGACGTTATTCACAAATTGTGGATTTGGTTTCTCCTGCAATCCGGTAACAATATGTTACTGAACGTTCTTAAAATGATATGCACGTTCACCAACAATTGCGATTTAGGTAAGTGATGAGCATATAATTTTATAAGTAGTATTTCATTTTATTGTTTTAGCTTGCCAATCTCTACCGGTAACTAACTCGATCGCCGGAGGAGTAGCGAGAAAGTCACCTGGTGCTTCCTCTTTGTTACACTCAATAATTGCCTTGATTAACAAACAAATGGAGCAAATTAGTAAAACTCACGATTTAAAAATATTAGAGACATCGTTCAATATATTGCAGAATGCCTGCCAATCTTTGGAGTGTAGAATTTTGATATCGAAAGTAAGCTTAGTCTCTTCTCTGTTCGAGTAACTTGTAATTTCGTTACCTTTAATTTTACAGAGTAACCTTTTCCAAAGCACGTCTCGTCTTCATCCGGCTATTACGAAACGCCAGAAGCCTTGGGACAACGTGGAATTATTGTGGTTGGATTTCTTGCAAACATTTACATGTCATCCTGAAGGCCAAGTCTCCCTAGGAAGGTACAGCGACGTTTTAGAATTGGTTTTCTCGTTGACCAGCAGTTGTAAATTAAAGAACAAATTAATGGCCTTGCTGGTTTTGAGAAACATATCTTTTTATCAAAGCAACAAGGCTAGATTGCTGGGTTCTGGTAAGTTATCTCGATTGAAGTATTAGCCATTTTACCTGGAGTCGTACCTAAACTTAGGCAACATACATTACACTAACTTAGTCTTTATGCCTGATTAATGCGAAATTTCACAATTTACTGACGATTTCAGATAATGTTTTTAATTTGTTTTTAACTTTAATTATTTCAGCGGATTTCTTAAACGTTTTGTCTACAAAACTATCTTCTGGTACCGAAGAGGAGAAGAACATCGTTGTAGTAATAATGTGGACGTTAGCAGCGAATTGCCAGAAAGCCAAAAATATTTTAAAAAGCATTCGCTTAGACGATAAACTTCAGAATATATTAAAACATCACCAATTAATTAAAAACAGGGATGAAGTAGGTGGTTTTGACATCGAAGACATCGAGAGGATATCATACGTTTTAGGAATGCTAAGAGACAATATTGAAAAGATTAGATGAGACTGACTAGCTTATTTTATAAGTTTTAATTATATTTATTATACTTTTCTATTAAAGTTTTTAATTACTCTTAAATTTTGTACAATGATTCTATAAGTAGAAGGCCATTTTTATGACATTTAGCAAAGTTCTGCTTTACACCTTGTTTCATGGTTTTTGACAGTGACACTTGTGACAGTCATTTGACATTAATGACAGTGACAATTGCAACAATTGTTGGTTATGTTACTTTTATTTAATAAAAGGATTAATATTAAATAATAATGAATTTACTAGGCATTAAACATAATACTTGATTCACTTCAATCAAAACATACACATTTGGTAAGTAATATTTAAATAACACATATTCTACTAATGTATCAGCTATTTTACCAATATGTTGCTATTAGTAAGCTCACTTAGTCATATTTTTTGTAGGAATACTGAATATCTACAATGTCTTCCGGACGAAAATGCAAAAATTGCGGGGGCTCCGACATCGAAGTCGACCCCGCAAGAGGAGACGCCGTGTGCACAGCCTGCGGTTCGGTGCTGGAAGATAGCATCATCGTGGCTGAAATCCAGTTCGAAGAAGGCGCTCACGGAACGTCCAGTGCAATCGGTCAGTTCGTTTCGTCCGATTCCAAAGGCGGAGCCACCAAGTTTGGGGCCTCTTTCCACGTAGGCGACAGCGTCGAATCCAGGGAGATAACGTTGAAGAAAGCTAAACATGGCATTTCGATTTTGTGCAGCCAGCTGAAGCTAAACCAGCATTGCACTGACACTGCTTGTAGTTTTTTCAAAATGGCTTTATCGAGGAATTTAACCAGAGGTCGGAGAAATACCCACGTACATGCTGCTTGCGTGTATTTAACTTGCCGGATCGAAGGCACCGCGCATTTGTTAATAGACATTAGTGACGTACTGCAAATTTGTTGTTACGAGTTAGGTAGGACGTATTTAAGACTTTCGCAGGCTTTATGTATTAATATCCCGGCGGTAGATCCTTGTTTGTATATACTCCGATTCGCTGCTAAGTTACAGTTCGGTTCTAAAACCCAACAAGTGGCTAACACAGCATTAAGATTAGTCCAACGAATGAAGAGAGATTCTATCCATACGGGAAGAAGACCTTCCGGATTATGTGGTGCAGCTCTATTAATGGCAGCTAGACTACATGAATTTAATAGATCACCTACCGATATAATAAAAATAGTTAAAGTACACGAATCGACGTTAAGAAGAAGATTAATCGAGTTCGGAGATACGCCAAGCAGCGCTCTAACATTAGAAGAATTCATGACAGTCGACTTGGAGGAAGAACAAGACCCTCCATCGTTCAAAGTAGCCAGAAAAAAAGACAAAGAAAGGCTACAAAAACTTTTCGAAGAAGAAGCCGACAATTTCACCAATCTTCAAAAACAAATAGAGCAACAATTAGAAAACAAGAAAACCTTCGAGCCGATTAAACGAAGCAAATCGAACAAAGAAGACGAGGAAACGAACATCTTCATCCGCGAATCCACCCTGGGCGCTATACAGGAGATCATGGAAGAGGCCACCGACGAGCCCGAGGAGCCCGTTGTGGAAGTAGGACCGGACATATCCAGCCTCGGCCTGCCGAACTCCCTGGACGACACCTCCAACGCGTACGTGCCGGCGCCCGAAATCGATCTCGACATGAACTTCGACGACGTCGACGACGCCGAAATCGACGCCTACATAATGAGCGAGCACGAGTGCGAGAACAAGAAGGTGCTGTGGCACAAGCGCAACGAGGCCTACCTGGCCGAGCAGAAGCTCAAGGCGCAGAAGCTGCAGAAGGAGCGCGAAGAGGGCAAGCCGGACAAGAAGAAGAAAAAGACGGCCAAGAAGAAGGCCATCGGGCCGCTGAATTCGGCCGGCGAGGCCATCGAGAAGATCCTGCAGGAGAAGAAGGTGTCGACGAAAATCAATTACGACGTGCTGAAGAGCCTGAACGTGGTGCCGGCGCAACCGGAGGTCGTGGCTGTCAGCGAGGAGGATAGCGTGAAAACTTCGGAGTCGATTAAACGAAGGAGGTTGTCTTCGATGTCGAACTATCGCGAGCAAGGGCCCGAGAAGGGTGTCAAAAGGAAACCGAAAAGTTCCGCGGGATTGCCAGTTTTTGATGATAACAGTAATAAAAACGCGATTAAAGATCCCAGTAAGGAATCGATTAAGATCCAAAAGAAGGATGATTTGGTTGGAATGTCTGATGAAGAGGAGGAATATTATGATGAAGAACCGGCCGGGGAGGAAACTACTAATGAAATAGGCGTTTTGCAGATGTTGAGGCAACATAGGGAAAACGAAGAAGATGCAGATGAATATAATTATGGGTATTTTGAAGACACCGATTACTAGGAGCTCTCTTAAAACAGGTATGCAGGGAGGGTAACTGTTGAGACACCTCTTGTATTGGCCACCTTGATTGTGATTATTTTCTATTTTGTACACTTTATTTATGGATTAATTATGTTTGTGGTTAATAAATTAATTTACATAATACATGTATTCGTTATAATCCATTACAATCACACGATATAATCATATATTAACACAATATATACAAATTAAAAAGTAAGTCTACTCCTATAAAAATACTAGACTTTAAATTTTGGTTTCTTGATTGACGAAAACATATAAAGTGTAGCAATTTGCAATATTTTTTTGTAAAGGCAGCCAAAATATCACTGTAATTTAGGTAAAATGTGATACGAAATTTTGCAATATTGCATATTATACCCGTATATTTATTTAATATTACGACAACACATGTCTTTAAATATCTATACTTACATCTGCTATTAGGAATAATATAAAATAATAATATTTTTTATGAATGTTTAAAAATCTTGAAATACGGAGATTACATAAAAATTTGGCTATCTTGATAAATTTACCAGACTTTGGTGAATATTTGGCAAATAGGTAAACATCCTGAGTTTGATATCCTAAGAGCCTATTTTTGGAGAATCTCGTAACATATCACTTCTAATATGTATTAAACTGGAAATATAATACAAAGCGTTTCGTTGAAATATTTCCCGAGAAGAAATATTACATATAACTATCAAAAGTTACCGCCAATAAAACACTTTGTAGAATAAATACTAACAGTATAAATCTTCTAATATCGACTAAACTGCTGAATTTATATTCGAAATATAAGTGCAAGATAAGGTAAATACAATAGAAAATATAGAACACCTATAGCATTTAGCACTTGTGAATTAAAACTACTTTGTTCTAAGTTTACGTGTAAATATAAATATCTATATCTAGCTTCGTTATTAAAGTTTCAATGCACTCAAGGACGGAAGAAGATAAGCTTCTTAAGGCACTAAATATTTCAAATTTTATTAAGTTTTCAAGGCCTTGGAAATATTCAGCAATACATAATTTTTATAAGCCTCACTTTGTAGGACAGGCTAGTTTTATTTATACAAGTGTTCCATATTTTGATTATTACATTAAAAATTAAGGTGAATGAATATTAAGTTGAATCAAAGAGTTTTGCTTATAAGGCTGTGAAAAAAACTACCTTATTAGTTTTCATTTTAGTACTCGAACTACCATCTACCTCGTTAAAAACGTGCAATTATTTTCGACTCTTATCTAATTATACAACAGTTCAAGGTAGTATCGAATAGAATATTTTTACGTATACACAAAAAGCTTCCTCTTCTCTAAAAATAACCGTTCACATTAAAAGGCGTAAAATTTCGTACCACAGTTAGTAAAGCCCCCGATAACTTATTTGCCGGTTTATCGACCAAACAAATAGGCGAACACGGAAACCAGCAACAGCAACGTGTTGAAGTACACAGAACACCCGGAGCACGGCTTGCTCACGTACTTGAAGAATTCCTCGTTCAGCTTCCTGTAAGGGGCGTACGAAGGACACTGGTTTGATAACGTATCCGCAAAGCACGATTTCACCACCGTTATATCGCTGAAAAATATGCACAAAAATATTATCAGATAATTTTGTAACGTGAAGTAATGAATACCTATGCGAATTAATCAATTTTTTACTTAAAATTCGGTTACTTGCTAAGGAAACAACAGTTGTAATTATTAGGTTGTTATATTGGTTTTTAGTGAACAGTTAAAAATAATTGGGCTTGCCGAACTTGTTAATTAAAAAAATCTAGTTTTAAACGTTGAAAATCGAATATTAGGTCATTAGTCTCTCGGCTAATTGGATAGAGGACACTAATTAAGCCGCATGACTAACACACTTATCTGCTAAAATACTTTAGTACGTATTTTCTACAAAAACAATGCGTGAAAAGAAAAATTGTTATAGCCATTATTATCATTGCTTGAGCGGATTTGATTGACACATTAATTTCCCATCTGACCCCTTTATCCACGAATCCTGAAAATCGCGCTACTGTTCTAGAATCCGATACCGAACCGCACCCTTTTAATTACATTACGAGACAGTCGAATGGACGATTTGCCAAATAAATTAATTTCCATCAAGGTTCCTTCTAAATTACACAGCAACCGCTATTTTATCACGATACGCACCTTCAAAAATAGCTAGAGACGCCTGAATTCGATGCGCAATGTATAGTAAAAAATACCTATAAGCTGATGATATACACGAAACTTACCCGCAAAGGTCTTTTTTCGAAGGGTGTCCTGTCGATGAGGGTTTCAATAATCTCGAGAAACATGTTCCTATATTTGGATTTTCACTGTTCTGCAACAACTTTTCCCGGCATTCCTTGGCGTTCGGACTGAAGAAGGCTAAAAACACAAATATAAATTTTGTTAACAGTTCTATTATTTTACCAAGCAAGTCCGCTAACTTTACACCCTTTTTCTTTACATTTTTACATAAAAGAGTTGCAAAAATGTTGGGGAACATTAGCGTTATTAACACCGCACCTTCTGGTAAGTACAACATACAAAAGAGTAGAAAACAATTAAACTATTTCTTGAGCATAATTTGGTGTTTAATTAGCGAAAAAGGGTCACGAAATATACGCCCTAAATGCACAAGGCCGTGTCCTCGCTTTCTTCTGGAATTTCCAGTCTTTGGCACGTGGATTAATTGAAGCGAAAAGGGAACAGGCGACCCAATTCTTCGCATAATGTTTACGGCGCCTAAGCAAATGGTTTTTGTCAATATAATATAAACTACAGGAAAAAGTAAAATCGATTAATCGTTTTAACGTAACTGTATAATAGCAGGTGAGTTTTTAATTAATACATGCGGGAAAATTAATTATTTAAAGCAGAAGATATTTTAGTGATATTAAAGCATAAATTTGTTGATGACAACATAATAAAATCTCTTATTTACCTAACCAACATTAGATTAAAAAATGACAAAAAAACCTTGTTAGATAACCGAAATTTAAATCATCTTCCTACCTAGATTTTTGTATTCGCTACCTGAACACTCAAGGTTACATTTATGTATTTATTTTCGTTCTATTATCATTTTTAATGCATGCATGTTAACCGTTTGCAATACCGGAAATATAATCACCAAAAATTAATCCTCCACATATTGCGATATTCAAGCATACCACCCTGTAAACGATTTGTGTAATTGTATATTTATTTGCTTAGGCAGATGATTGATAACGGTGCCATTGATTTTTTTGTTGTGGCTTGTACGCTGTACGAATTTTTTTATTGTTCCGAATTCGTCCTTGGAAATGCGAAATAAAAGGACGATTTACAAACCGTCGAAAAACAGATTGATTTTCCCCCACAGAAGTTTTTCTAGAGGCGTGTCGTGACTATAGTTTTGTGAAAATATTGCTTGCCTGTTGAATTAATTAAATAGAAATGATTAGGTACAGAAAATGTTTTAACAAGTTCCTTACTAATATTAATATTTAATCAACGCTTATTATTACGTATCTACCAGATAACAGTAAAAGTTTATATGGAAACAAAGTTAAAAAATACCTGACAACAGTAAAAGTTTGTAAATTATAATAAAGCTAGAAATCAACGTTGCCGAGTCTTGTCGAATGTCCCTACATTTAGTGAAAAATAAAGAGTATAATAATACTTACTGTTGAGATTAGTTGCGTCATCGTGGCAAAGAAAATGCAAAAATTCCGTGAAACTCTCATACACGAAATCACTCATGTACTTCTCGGACGAAGACAAGCAGGGCTTCATGTCTCTGCTCAACTCCTTCATTTTCTGGTTCAATATGCCGCGTTCGCTGTTGCAGAAGTTCTTCGTCTGTTCCGGGATGAATTTGAAGGCGTACTTGAGGTACCTATAATGAGAATAAATCGCTAATTTAATGCGCTTTACGGGAGTTTGGTGGGAACCTTTTAAATTCGACTCCATCGGCGTATAGTTTATCGAATGCTTGGGTTGAATTATTTGTCTCCGCCTGGCATTTGCTGAACCAGTGATTGGCCAATTGGTCGTAGGGGCCTTGTTCTTGTGCTCCCTGTGCTGCTATGATACCTGGAATAACATATAATAAAAATTATTAAAAAATGTTTGACAAAATTATGAAGGAATTATTGGAGAGTATTTGCAAAGTTTGGAGGTGGATAAAAAAGTATACTCATTGTAATTTTTTGTAGGTACAAATTAGTATTGTTTTATATAGTTTTTTTTGACAATTTTATTATGAATGGTATTGTAAAAAATAAATAAAGCTAGAAGTTCAAATATCAAGGTAAAGTTTTTTTTCAATAATACATCTAAAAATATTCGGATGTTACGTTAGAGATAAGGAGCCAAAATCTGTTCTATTTTCGAGAAATTTCAGTGTCTAGTATACATCATGCAAAGACATTAAATAATTCTTCGCATTTTTTTGCATAAATTTAAATACATATGGGATATCTTTTATCTGCCGCATTTTGATTAATTACCAACAAACGTCATACGCAAATAACGCCAATAACACAGCGATCTGACTAAATAACTATTGGTATGGAATTACCCATGTTTATAAACTTATCACATAATTGCAGATAAATTGTATATTAATAAACTTTTACAGGGAAATGACACAAAAATGTGCAGTTATTTTTTAAAATAATTATTTATGAGAAAGACAAAAAATGTTCTTTTAAAAATCCTTAAATTCAGTATATTAGGTATACATTTTAGTATACCTATTTCCTAAAGGAATAAGTAGTCAGTTGACCTTTCTATTGCGATTTAAGGGCGATAAAAAGAAGGTCATTCTGCATTGTAAAAGGGGCGAGTTAGAAAGATTAATTAGCTGATAGTAAAGGTTTAGTAAAATATAATTTACAAAATATCATGCAATATTACACTCAACAGTCAACGAACTTATAAAATCGCAAAAAAGGTTCAATAACAAACGTAGGTACAGCCCGGAAAAATGCCCGGTGGAGGATTTTCTGCACGAAGAAGGTGTACGACAAGGAAAGTATTAGAGTAAAGAAGACAACGTTAGAATAATTAGTATTAATAATTCTAAGAAATCAATTACGTTAATGATAAATAAATAAATAATTTTCTAGGAATATTTGAATATGTATTTGTATTAAATTGTACCTATGTCCAACATTTATTACCCGGATTAATCACCTAGAAAGTATATTATAACGTAATTAGTTATCTATACTGGGTTTAAAATAATATTAGATTTGTACAGAGAAAGTATACAGTGGTAGATGCATCTTAGTTTGCAATATAGGCTATTGGTGCGACAAAGACATATTCCATTAAATACCTATATAAAGGAAAAAGAAAGGGGGCTCGATGTAGGGGCAGGGAGAATCTCATCTCAGTTTTATAATACTTATAGTAGATATGCTGTAGGTAATATTTATTGAATAAGATTATGTAACTATACAAATACCTATACATACTTTTTATATGATTCATCACATGTTTTTACACAAGTATTTAAAACATATGGATTAATTACAAAAACCAATAAGTGCTCATGTAGTGTATTAGTGCAGATCTGATCCAAGTTGATAGAAAATCAACTCATCTACAGGGAGTTCTGTAGTAAACTTATACTGGTAAATCTGAATAGGTTTCAGCTCAAGCTATAGATTTAAAAAAAAATAAAATAAAAAAACAATCCGTGTGTATTTTGTTGTGAAAAATTTGCGCAGAATGCAAACAATCCAATATCGTTTTTTATTTGTATTTGACATCGAGATTATTTTTCAATAGATATCAAAGAATTTCAAAACTTTACAAAAGATTAAAAATTCCACAAAAATTCTATTAGAGGGTAGGTTAGGGTAGGGTATCTAGTTCTGAATGTTAGTCAATATAATCTTGATCACCCTGTATAGTATACAAAAACGTCCACTTATAATAAGTTCCACATTTTCCCACTTTCCCACACATGTTATGCCAATAACGAAGATATCTCGAGTACTCCAGACGTTGATCTTTAAAATTTTAATTACGATAAATATCGCAATTATATCGGACGAATTATTAAATTGACCTTGGTCTTAAAGCGACAGATGAAAATTTTTAATAAACATAACAAGTTATTCACACCGAAAACAAGCAAAAAAACCAGAAAACATCGAAAAATATACCGATAAAAATTATTGCGAAATTGGTAATTTATTATTGTTTATTTTCTACTTCTACGCTCACCTATGAAAGTTGTCAACACGAATATCGGCAATATCACGTTTTCGTTAGCAGAAAAATATTTAACACCCATTATTTACACCAGATTCCGCAGACAGAATTTATGCAGCAATTAAAGTTCGATTTAACAAACACCGCACAAACTTAATAGCACTACAACAACGACTCAAGTCCGTTTATTAATCACGGGAAAGCGTGAATCAACGGGATTTCTTCACTGAAGAATCGGCACGAATCGACTAATCGAATCCACATTTCTTTGGTTGTTGCGCACTTGTAGAGATGCGAAGCGCCACTAACAGTTCCATCGTCAACAAGACAGTTAATTTTATTTTAACCTATTTCAAGAAAAGTTTATTATATTTTGTGTTAACAATTGTTGTATTAAGTTAAAAGTTAGTTGCTCGTTAGATATTGCTCTGTAAAATAGTACAAAAAGGTATCGTTATTTTAGAACGTTACATCAAGGAAGTGTCAATTGCATCTCTATTACAAAAAGATTCATTCAAAAACATGCAATTACAACTTTGAATGAGACAGGTTGTGCCATCTAGAGAACCAACATCTAATTATTTTTATAGTTAGCTGTAGATTAGTTCAGAAATTCGACAACAGATGGATTTATTAGAAAATAATTCGAAAACCGGGAAAAATTTGAAATTTATACTTGAACAAAACAGCAAATTCCCTACAAAAATGCCCTATAACCAGGTAAATCTAAATTAAATCCACTCTCATGAAATCACAGGATGATTTTATTATTTCCCCTCATTAATTATTATTTTTTAATACATTCAATACAATACGTACAGTATTAATATGCACCAGAATTGCGCACAATTTATTAGTCTGGTGGAATATTTAAAAACCTACCCTACTCTACCCTCTACTAATCTCTTATCAGTGTAGCGAACAGTGCAATGAACAAATTTACATTCTAGGGAGTCTATAAAGCATGGTAGAGTAGTGTAGGGTAGAGTAGAGTAGGGGAATTCTAATTTCTATGTGCACGAAAATACTTTGCTGTAAATAAAAATTCTCAATAACCAAAAGAATTATTTTTGTTATAAAATTCCGGGGCTCTGCGCTTATTTTACCCGGCAGATTTAAAGGACCCTTCATTACCCGCGACCAGTTTATCTATTAGATCTATAATCCCCTTTGCGCCCAATTTACACCCTTCCACCTTACTCTACTACAACGCAATTTATTTATTTATCAGGTAAATGTGCGCAGTTTCAGGTATATTTTAAGGTACTTCGAGAGGTATTCGAAATATACTGCTCCACATAAGTTAAGGAAGTTCACAAATATTGAGATTAATTTAAAAGTTGCAGGTTCTTTTATCGCTAAATTTAGTATGAGTTGTAGAGGTAGGGACAAAAAATCCACTCAGATACGAGAGAAAACATTTAACTTCGCATATTTGAAAATTTGGTGATCAAAAAGTCTGCAACTTTTAAGATACTCTCAAAGTTTGCGAACTTCCTTAACTTTTGTGGAGCAGTTTATACGCGCAATTCAGGTATCGGATTAGAGGACTATTAAGGACGTGTGCGCAATAATATAAATTGACAAGAGTTAATTTTCTACCAGCGAGAGTCATTTACCTAACTACATAAACAATTCCTCAACAATTTTTTGATTGCCATTCCATTTCCAGATCAGCGGCAACAAATAAAATCCACCTGTTGAACCGAAAACGCGCCGATAAAGGCCAGGTAACGCCGCTCACCTGGCTCCAGTACCGTTCCCCGTGCGACGATTCGACGGTATCGGAGGAGTGGCTGCGCCACCGAGCCCCGGCCTGACGTAACTTATCGTTCGGCATAAAAACCCGGCGATACATCCCGTATATCTCTACAGCGAACAGAGAGCGGTCTCGTTGCATTCGATACTCCGAGTTTCACGAGTTTCCAACGCGATCGACGGGCCTGCTTCAGTCGGCCGCTCTCGCACGGTGTTTCGTATTTTTGTTAGTGTACGTGGAAATCGCACGACGTGGATTTGGAAGACGCCGAAACAATGACGAATTACATCGCCGGCGTGGAAGGGTAAACAGTTTGTTTTGATTTATTCCGGGTTTTGGGGGAATATTGTTGTGCCCGAATAGTCCGGGGGATTAGGTGGCATTTTCGGGTTTTGTTTTGACAGTATTGATTCGCACGATTTAGTGCGGTTATTTAGAGTAAATTTTTGTTATTCCAAATTATAAAACATACTGGGTGGTCAGTTTGATTTTTTAATGACACTCTGTAGTATTTTATTCATGCTTAAAGTACTTTTGGGGAACTATTGGAGAAATAATTTAAGAAAAGTCTGCTAAAAAAAGATTTTTTTTGGTATATTATGGAAAGAAAATTACATTTCAAAAATAACTTTTTTGATTCTAAAAATCAGTACTAAACGATACTTTCCTCTTTCCTCTGTAGAAAAATTAATTCTTAACTGGCAGAATTAGGAAGTAATTGATCACCGGGCCAGCTCCTATACTATTCTCCTCCGAGGAATAAGAGAGGAACATGTATGGACAATATCATTTTTAACCTTCTAAATTAATGTTAATAAACTGAAAAGGTCAATAGACAGGGCAAGAGGTATTCGTGGCCTAAACGTGGCGAAATAACTTTCGAAATTGAATCACATTCGCTTAATATCTGATAAAACATGCGAGTTTTTTTTCTGATTTACTAATGATTGATTGGGTATTAAAATTATATCCACATCTTTAGGTCTTTCACAACAAATTATGAGTGGGTACTTATTTTTTAATCAATTAATTGATTGGAATTATGCAATTTACAAGTAGGTAGTTATCACAAAGTGTATTGTCCTTCCAATTTTTTTTACAACTTTAATTTTTCAAAATGTGCACTGATTTATTCATATTTCCAATCAATATTCTATTGACTTTGGAAACACTATAAATTCCGAATTCTCTCTAGGTTCTAGGTCTAGGCCAACTGCACTCGACTCGTTTGTTTGCAGATACTTGGCAGTGTAATTTCCTTCGACAAGTGCGCAATTTCGATTTGCAGTATTCACCAAGATAATTGATATAATAAAGTGTTAAAAAATAGACTCATTGCGCCAAAGTGGTCAAATCGCAATGGCAATATTAATTCAATTGCCTGGAAGGAGGATAAAAATTATTAATATTAAAATTGAGTCGATTATGTATGGTAAAAAATGTGCTCGTGGACGAAGTTTAGTGAATTTTAATGGAGAGTTTATCAGTAAATTAAAATTCGCACTAAATACAATTTTAATCATTACCGTTCGTTCGTTAAAGTAAATTTAATTGAACAAAGTTGCATTTTTATTAGCAGCACCCGATAATAAATTGGTTACTTGACGCGAATAAAACATCGGTTTATTGAGCTTTAACATGAGAATCGACTAATCTACTAAGCGCGATTTTATAGGCACTAATGAACAGAGAAATACCTCATTAAAAACTAATTAAACACATGAATATATGAGATGGTTAATAACATTTATAGGTTCAAAAAATTATGCATAAAAATTATTCTTCTTGAGATTTCTGATATTATCGCTTAAATAAGGAAATATTTACCTAGTGTACCTACCTAATTGCTTATCGAAATGTTTGATTGAAGCCTTTTAAAATAAAATAATCAAATAATCCAACCTTAAACTTTTACCAAAAAAATTGGGAAACGACATCTTAAACATTCGGCTTATTTTTAATTCTTAAAAATTAATTGTATCTTATCTTTTATTATCTAAATTAAGTCGCGATAAAATGTGTTTAATGATCATTATCGTAATAATAAATATAAATTTTACTGCCGCCACGATTAGCTATAAAATATATTGAGTCGCACATATTTGTATAAAACAAAAAGAATCTCACTTGCAATTTATTGCAATATAATTCATCATGTAATCAATGATATCGAGCGATATGACAAATCGAAATTCGGCAAAATATTTATTAAAAGATAAATCTTAAAGGGATTATTTATAGATTCGCTATCATCGCAATAAAATTATTATCACCCACGTTATTAGATAGATATCTGTAAAAATTATAATTACACAATAAAATCAATTCCAGTGGTGCGACCAATTCGCACGCCATCATCATGGATTCCAGCGGGAAAATTTTGGGAAAATCCAGAGGCGCCGGGACCAACCACCATTTATCCGGCATGAAGGAGTGCCGAAGACGCCTGGCGGAATTGATTAACGCTGCCAAAATCGAGGCACGCATACCTCTAGACCAACCCTTAACCGCAGTGGTAAGGGTTAAAACACCGACTGAATCCGGAAGCATCTGAAAATTACATTCACGTTGGTCTTTCTAGGGACTGAGCTTGAGCGGATGTGAGCAAGAAGAGGCCAACCAGGAGCTGGCGAAAGGCATCATCCGGGACTTCCCCACGCTGGCGGAGAAATACATAGTGGCCAGCGACACCGAGGGCTCGGTGGCGGCCACCTCGAACAGAGGCGGCGTCGTTTGCATAGCAGGCACCGGCTCCAACACCCTCCTAATAAACCCCGATGGCAAAAAAGTCCAATGCGGCGGCTGGGGCAATTTGCTAGGAGACGAAGGAAGCGGTAAGTTTCTACCTAAATCGCCGACATCACCCGCTTAAATCCTCGGTTTCCAGCGTGGAAAATAGCCTACATGGCCGTCAAGTACTGCTTCGACGAGCTGGACAACTTCGAGAAGGCGCCCTATCCCACGGAGAAGGTGTGGAAGCTGGTCAAGGGCCACTTCAAGCTGCGCAACCAGCCCGACATCCTGGACTACTTCTACGTGAACTTCGACAAGGCGTACATCGCCTCGATGACGAAGGACCTGAGCGAGCTGGCGGCCGACGGGGACGATTTGGCGCGGGAGATCTTCCGCCAGAACGGGGCCTACCTGGCCAAGTCGATACGCGCCGTGTTGTCGAAGGCCAGCGGGGAGTTGAGCGATAGAGAGGGCGGGGTGCACGTGACCTGCGTGGGGTCCGTGTGGCTGAGCTGGGAGCTGCTCAAGCAGGGTTTCGTGCAGGAGTTGGACGCCAAGTCGGACATCCGGGAGCTGACTCTGATAAGACTGAATACGGAAATGGGAACTGGGGCGGTTTACTTGGCTTCGGATAGGCTGGAGATACCTTTGGAGAGGGATTATTCGAAAAACTATGCCGTATTGTATAATTATAAGAGGGAGAAACCGATGAGCAACGGCTACTAATTGTGTTTTTTTGATAAATAAGATATATTTTTGTATTCGTAGGAGTTTAAAGTTTTATTTTGGTGAATTTTTACGTACGAGTATATATTAATTTTTAGAAGAAAATTGGTACTGAGGCAGGATATTCACGAAAATACGACAGCTAATATAATACGTCTAGTAAAAATCCAACAAAATAAAACTATTTGATATAAAAATTATAAATTGACAGGATCCAATGAACCTAATATAGTCACTTCATTATAAATATTAAAATGGAAAAGCCTATTTTAAACAAAAAAGGCCGCAGAGAGTATACAAAGTATACAATATTGCAAGAAACATAAATCCACCGATTGAGTACATTTAGAATCAATTTTATAGCAAAATATTTTGTAAATATTTTTAATTTGTATATAAAAAACCTAAAAAAAGAAAAAACAGCACTTTCTTTTGCCTTACTCTTTATTTTACAATAATATAATTAACAAAGAAATGCACAGAAACACTTCTTTGTAGTTAATTTTATTTCTTAGGCTTACATCTACCACCTTATATCATTATTGTCGATGTAAACAAGTAGTCTTTGACATCCCAAATAACATTTTTTTATTTTGGTATTCTGGGTACTTAAACATACTCTTTGGAAGATCAATATTTAATTGGGCATTAGTAAAGCGAATTAACGGAACTGAGTTCGTTATAATTTCATTTTTTTACATCTAATTATTGTCTTTAAATAAACTAAACTTAATTTAAATTACTGTTTGGATAGTAAAAATGTATTTCTTACTTTATTAATATTTTGAACTTAGTTTTCGAGATATTCTATTCCATTTGGTTCGATAATAGGACTATTTGGTACTTTCTTAGGGGAACCTAAAAATGATATAACCAATTAAAAAACAATTATTATCAAAATCTAGTCCTTGGATCTAAATTTGTCTTTGATTATGATTGAATACTAAAAAATACACGAAAATATATACAATGTTTCAATAAGGAACTAGATGTAGGTGCAAACATTTCCAATGTGGTTTCTGAATATTGATACAAGATACAAGTTTCCGTTATCAAAGACGCAAAAACCATAAGAGGAATCGTCCAAAGTAAATTTTGTACATCGTATTCTATACACAACTAAATTAAAAAAATAAATATCTTATTTGACAACAATTTGGTTGCTTCTATTAATAAAGGAACTGCAGAAGAAAATTCACAATCAAAGTGACTATTTGTTTTGCAAATTAATGTATCCCCGAGAAGAGATTTAGAATAATTTGTTTAGTCGTAAATGATTAATTTCAATTCTATATTCTCTAATTTATGGTTCGTGTTCGCAAAAAATTGTAAATTTTATATTCTTCGAGGCAGTTATGGGATCAAGGCAAATGTATCTCAACAACTTGTTGATATTCAGCAAGAGATCGAGAGTGTCCCGTTACTTGATTCAACGATTTCTAAAATATGTCATTCTGATCATGGTATTTCTTTTAAAACCACTATAAAAAAATAATCATTGTTCGTTTGTAGCACAACAATTATTAGCAATTTCGTAATATTTATGGAAAACATCTTGATGGCGTTTCGCTACCAAATTTTCCGCCACTTCTACCACCAAGACTTTCCATTCAACACCCCTTACATAAGATATGTCATTTACAACTTCACAGTTTTAGCTTTACCAACAACGACGAATATCTTTTGCAAAAACACGGTGACTCCATCGGACCCTTTCCGGAACCACTCCGGCTTCGGCCAGTACACGAAGAGGAAGTAGACAGGAATCGAAGACAATATCATCAGCGTGCCCATGCCGGTTTCGTAGGGACTCGCCGCCATCGGCACCGCAGTCACGAACACGGTGCAAAGTAGATACAACACCGGCCAGAAGAGGCTCACTTTTATGGGCCTGGGGAGGTCCGGTCGTTTCCAACGGAGCCACGGAAGACACAGCACTGCTACCCCTATGCTCAACTAAAACGCGCCAAAAATTACTCACAATTCGTATTGTTTATAAAATTTGTATTGCTCACCCAAGTGGCGAATCCCACGTAGTTTATAAGAACATCGATGTCGGATACTGTTAGATACAGGAGTGATAAAATCGCCTGGAACAAAACCATCGCAATGGAACAAATTTACCAGGCAGTCAAAGAGGGCATGCTCTTACCATGACTAAAACCGATGGCGTGGGCGTCATCCTCTTGGATTGAATCATGGTGAGCAATTCGGGCATTTGACCGTGACAGGCGCCTGCGTAGAATAACCTCGAGGACGTGAGCAAAATGCCGTTTACTGCGCCGAAGGTAGAAAGGGCGACGAACACCGGTATGGTCCAGGCAAAGGGTCCGAACAGCCTGTTGGCGAAGGTCACCGCGACAGCCTTGGAGCCCAGGATTTCCACCGGCGATAGGGTGGTGTAGAAAGCGATGTTGGTCAATACGTACACAGCTGTTACCAGAGTGCAGGAAATGGCTATTGCTAGAGGTAGATTCCTGGTGGAAGAAGGGATATGGTAAATACAGGAGCCAACAAAACAACGAGTGGAGATTGCATTCAATTTTTTCACTTACCTCACGGGATCCTTTAGTTCCTCGATTATGAAGTTTAGATAATTCCTGAAAAATAGACGAATTGATAAATAAATGCGGTCAATAAACTTCTGTAGCATTCGAAAAAGTAATTTCTGCGTTTGTAAGCAAATAAAAATAACGCTGTAAAATGATATAGAATAATTTAGTACCATTCTACAGCGCAATTTGCTTGATTTCTGTACAGAAAAAGTGTACTTTAAAGAACACTATGTATTTAAAATATTCTACTACTTACCATCCATTATAAGCGAACAATCCGGAATAAAATGACAAAGCCAGAGAAGTTATTTCATGCTTCGTATTCATAAAAGTGAAGTGTTCCGTATGTCCTGAATAACACCAGAATAAATAAGATATAATAGGGCAGAAACGTCAATAACGATAAAACCGCGCTTTATTATTCGTAAAAACGAAAAACCAGCAGCTTCTCGAGTTTACGACGAATAAGAATTTAATTGCTAGATAATTGCTAACCTTTAAACAATTCGTAACTTCCAGCAGCTATAATTATGAACAGTGCCAGCAGTTTGGCGTAGGTGAATACGTCTTGAACACGAGTAGCCCACTTCACGTCGTAGCAATTAACAAAAGTTAAAACACCTGAAATGAAATTTATTCCAGTAATCACAAAATTATTCCTGTACAATAAGGTCTCAAAAGTAGCAAATTACTATCAAAAGTTAGATCCTATCATTTCTATGGAATATTATACGAATATTTTAGTCAGTACAGAACCCATCTTTAGTACTATCAATATTGTGTGAAGGGATTTGTCAGTATACTTACATATGCAACAAACTGCTAGAAGTCTAGCAGCGCTGTCGGGCGGATCGCATTCCGGAAAGAAAGGCTTCATCACGTACTGGCTGAAGGTTAAGGCTACGATAGCTTGAGAACAAGGCCGGACGATCATGCATTCTATCCACAATCTAATGAAAGCGACGAAGGGACCGAAGGTTTCCATGATATAGGCGTAATCGGCGCCGCTTTTCCTTATCATCGTGCCCAATTCGGCGTAGCAGTAAGCGCCCACCTGTGGTACAAATATGCTTGAAATTTAAAGTTGAATGAGGTGATAATTTGAAAAATTTGCGCTGTTGTCGCATTGTGATTTTTTTTCTGTGGTTATTTCTCATTTGTGTTGAGTTCTTATTTTAGTGCTAGGGGAATTTACAATGGTGAAGTAGGTCGAAGTGTTCCGTTTTCGATTTACTCCCTATTTAGGTCAGAGGTCGCAGCGCCCTAATCCTCTAAAGAAACGAGACCGGTTTAATTTGAAAGGATTTTTAACCCTGAACAGTGGTTTGGCATTATTTCTACGCAGACGTTTGAGTCTGCATGAAAGCCTGATTAAAAAATGCTTGTATGAATTATTGGGGATTCTAATAAACCTATCAATAATCAACTCGAAGTTATTATTATATTACGAGTTTATCGGATTTCAAATTGGACTTGCAACTCAATTTAACAATTCCTGCAAGGTTGTTCTGTGGCATAGCTGAGTTTAATACGCAATTTCTTGCAACAACCAGAAGGTGCAATTGTAGGTATTTTTTCTTAATTTTTTATTTGATAGGTATGCATTCTAAATTAATATTATCACGGTAGGTACTTATTGTAGAATATCTTAAAATAACTATAATATTAACAAAACATTTTCTTCTACCACAAATGGTCTACTATAAATTTGAATTATTGAGAAGTTACATTTTTCTATGATGTTATTTAATTTTCTTTTCTTAGTGTCAGACTAATCTACTTTGAGTCTTTTAATTCGGAGCAATTTCATTAAATAATGACTTCCCTTCATACGATTCAGACTACACAACAATAATTTCTCTGAATGACCTAACAAAAACCTCCAATTACGGCTAAATTGACAAAAAAATTTATTCGCAAAAATGAATCGAGCGTTACAATTTAAAAACAATCAATGGACGTTTTGTTGATTTGGGCGTTTATTGTTATAGGGAGGCGAAATTAATAATAAAGAAGGTAAATATTAGTAAGTTTTGTTTGTTGAATTCGCTTAGGTAATCATTCGTGTCGATCACGACTAAAATAAAAACATAAAAAAATCCTTGTAGGTGCAAACTTGTGTAGGTATTTATACAAAAAAAAAAGAATCATCAATTTAAAATTCTTCCACCAATCAGGAATTACCCAACACAGGCGATTTAGGACCACGGAAAAAAGACTCAACAAAAAAAAAATACATACCATAGAAAACACCCCGGAAACGGTCCAAACGATCAGGCTCACGTTCACGCTCCCGGTGTTCTTCAGCACGCCCGACGGGCTCACGAATATCCCGGATCCGATGATGCTGCCCACGATCACCGTGATCCCGTTGACCAGGGTCATCTTCGGCTTGAGGGTGATCTCCTCGTCGCTCCTCTTCGGTTCGCCCTCCTCCATGGTCGCGTCGGCTCTGCACCGGCCGTCGGCAATGTGGCCGGCGTGCACGTTGGTCGAGGACGCGCCGGTGCCGTCCACCAGGAGGTTCTCGCCTCTATGCGCCGGGCGATAAGGCGCCGGGCCAGCGGGGCGGACGCGGCGCGCTTCGGGGGGTCGCGCGGCCCGCTCTTGGGGTGCACAGAGCGGTAGAAGCGGAAGGAAGCGAAGGATTCGAAGGATTCGCGTGCTTCGTACGACGCCGGTTGACGTTTCGTGTCATTGCGAATTTCATGTCGACGGGTCAGGATTCGAGTGGATATTCCGAAGCATCTTGCATGATGTTTCGAATATTACGGGACTTGTAGTACGATCAATAAAGTCTCACTTACAAGAAGTGGTACAAAATGAGTGGGATTCTAAAGATTCCACCACGCTTTAAAGAGTGAAGACTTCATTCATACAGTTATAGGACTTCTAATATGATCAATAGAATCTCATTTGCGACAGGTGGTATAAAATAAGCATGATTCTAAACATCCCACCACGCTTCAAAGAGTGTAAACTCAATTTCTGTGGAAGAAGTACATTATTTCTATATTTCCCACACTTTTCTCAAGATTTCCATGCATTTATATTGCTGTTGTGGTTTAAATAAATAGTGCCTTCTGGTTACCATCCGCCACTGCGAGTGAAAGAAAGGGTACATTAGCGCTGAGGCGCGCAGGCCGGACTGGAATTGGATCAATATGAAAGGAATCGGATTTTGACGTTTTGGGCTTTACGCAAGTCGAAATTGCGAAGGGAATTTTGGCGGTATAAAGGGAATCACGTGGGCGATTAATAAATGCACATGGTTGCTGTTATATTGTGGAATATTTCTGTAAAATGGTTTTATTTCGATAATGCATCTGGAAAAGAAATGTATTTCAATGTTCTATTATTCATTCCGGTGATAGGTTCCTATATGTACCTAACAATCTTTATACACAGTCTCTAGAGAATCTCTGTTTACAATCTATATCTGTTGGTCTATAGGGAAGTTATATTTCTTTCCATATCCCAGGTATCTAAAGGAATATATCATAATATGAGGAAAATATTCACCAAAATTTTCGGTTTTTCGTATTATTTTTTTATATTTGAACGAAGGTATTTGCTCACTTTAAAAGGGAGATTTTTGCGTCGGTTTGCCTAGTCTGTGATCGTTTTTTCAAACGTAATTTGCCGAATAAAAGCCGGCATTGTGAGAAAAATTGCCCGACAATGAACGAAAATAAATTGAAAAAGGGGACCCTGCTTACCGTTCTGAATATGAACAATGAACGTGCGGTATCCAGGAGCTTGTTCTTCAAGGATATTAAGGATTTTTGAAATATACAATGGTAGTACAAATTATATATTTTTCTTATTTATTGAAACTTTGATAATAGTTTATCAAATATATGTAGAAACTGTTTTTTTACAACATGTGATCTATATCTTAGGGTTTATAGAAGGAATATTTTCAATTGTGAATTACTTAATAAAATTTTATATTTTTTATAAGTAGCAATGTTTTATTTCAAATTCTATTTAAAACTATCAACAACTTTATATGTAAACAAAGGAAAGTGAGGATCAACTGGCCCATTAGCTCAGTTGGTTAGAGCGTCGTGCTAATAACGCGAAGGTCGCGGGTTCGATCCCCCCATGGGCCAATTATTTTTTTTCGATTTAAATATTTATTCATTTATTTAATTCAACCTTTATCGCAATTGAATTAAAATATCATTTTTTTAAAATTATACACGAAAGTAACCAAGTTTAATAAAATTATTTGATAACCGCAATGTTAAAAGAGTTGCCTAACTAATACCACGCTACACTAAAAATTTCCCAACACTTTTCACGATTACAATTTATTACATTTATGAGGTTTCCAAAGACATTTATTTGAATTTTGATAAAATAACAAAAATTAAAAACACGTGGTGCGTTAACTTTATCAAAAAAAAAATCAGCTTTTATCATACAAGGGTAGGGTAAAAAGTTCTCGGCTTGACCGTGAAAGACCGCGATTTTCAGTTAAAAAATTAAATTATTCTTCTTATTAAGTCAAAATCTTTAGTTCGAGAGAGTTCTAAATTATTCTGAGGCGTTCTGGATTGATCTAGACAGTTCTAAATGATTCTGAAGCGTTCTAAATAATTCCAGAACGTTTTAAATGGTTCTAGACAGTTGAAATGATTCTGAAGCGATCTCAATGATTCCAGAACGTTCTAAACGGTTCTAAAGCATTCTAAATGGTTATAAACAGTTTTAAATGGTTCTAAACGATTCTAGAGCATTCCAAGTTACTATGGAGCGTTCTATAATAAATGGTTCTGAAGTGTTCTAAATGGTTTTAGACAGTTCGATGTCATAATGAATTCTAGACAATTCTAGGCAGGTTCTAGACAGTTCTAGAATTAATTACAAATGTTCCAAAAGGAAAACAAGAAATTTTACTGATTGGAGCGCCCTCAGGTACCGAGAACTTTCACCCTACATTTCACGTAAATTCTTATTCCCATAGCAAAAATCTATCTTAAATTAAATGTGTACGTAATAGTTTCAGGATTAAAAGGACTTGTTGAAGGGAAAACACACCTCGAGAAACACCCGTCTCGTTAATACAAACACATTTGCCCCACTTATCGCTAATTCTTCAAAGTGGCCCATCGGACGCCCGCGGAGCTTCTCTTATTTTCTTCGTCCTCGACATCTTCTCGTAGACGCCGCAGGGTTTTCATCGACACTATACCTACCATCGCCAGCGACGTATCAATAACCCCTTAATCGTCCCATGCAAACGTTTCCTGCAAGCCAACTGCGTTGATTAACTTGGCATTGGATTTCCCTTTTAGAAGATTCCGCTCAATGATAATTAGTAGTTCCCAAATTTGATTTATGAAGATCGATCTGCCAAAAAGTGAGTGCATGTACTCAGCTAATCACTTTCTAAATTTTTTCGTTAATTACTTCCAAAATAGCGACTCGCGTGCCGACCGAACGCCGAACAATCAAAACTGGATTAGACTACTTACTTCATAAATATTTTAAAGCGCATTAAAAACACTTTCGAGATATATCTTATCGATATCGGATCCCGACAAAAAATTCTTCGGGTCCACTTTCGTTCGAAAAAATGATTCACTCGACCTGGATTTTTTCGTTGAAAAATCCCGGTACAAATTAAGCGTTTGATAGTTCAATTAGCGGCGGAGATATTTTTTCTCCCGAGAAAATCAGTCGATAAGAGAAAAGCGTTTTCTCTGAGAAAAATAAATAATGTGTGTAATTATCTCGATGCTTTTTAACGAACTTGAAAAGAAAGTTTTTTCTTTGTTAATTAGACTATAGGAGAGTTACATCAAAGATGTACAAACGGTAATTGTTTAATAGAAGAATATCTAATAAACAGAATTATAATAGAGTAATTAATATAAATATTTCTGTATTATTAGTTGAATGTTATGTAAAATTCCCTACGTCTATGGTCAATAAACCAAGTTCATTGAGAACATCTATGAAATTATGAATAACCTGTTTACACATATTTCTTCGATTAAAATCGACCAGAAACGATACTTTTACTTCTTTCGGTGTCTTCTCCTTCCTACCTGTTGGTCGTGAGCGCGTTTCCATTTCTATGACCTGCCGTGTCGCCCGTTGACACTCGATAATCGCTCGTTTTCGCGGAAAATTTACTAACGCTGCGGAAAAGTTTCTTCGACCTCGTCGAGGAACGTTTCTAACACCTTCATTATGCGATCGATCGATAAATATTAAACAACAGATGCACCGCCTGACCTCCTTGAGATTAATTTAAACGTTATTTAGGTAAATCTCTTGTTTACCTACTGTCCAATTTTTAGTTACCGCATTCTAAATGGACTGCTTCTAAGTACCAATTTAACAATGTTTTATGGGGTTTTCCTCGCTCCGTGTGGTATGAGAAAGTACTCGAGCGGTTTCATTAAGATGCTGATCGTGTATAAGCATTTGTTAAAAACCAGAATGCATAAAATAGGTATCGATTGCCGCCGTAATGCCGATATTATTACAGTTGTATTTTTTTTTCACCTAGGGCGCTGATTGATTGGCTGCAATTAACACAAATAATAAGCCAGCATGACTTCTTCAAAATTCCAGTAAATCGTTGTTTGTACTCGCAAGTCATTCAGCTAGAAGAACTCGTTTACACTGGTACAATGTAACTTCTTCCATGCAGCAACCTAGCATGTTTTTATTATTGATAAATAGTATTGAATTGAGAAAAGAAATGTACTAGGCTGATTACTATGATCTTCCATGTCTTCTTAAATGATTTTTGCGATGAAATATTCGCCATGTTTTAGCGATTTTCATCTTTAAGATCCTCAATTGTTTCAGGAAAAAAAGTCTAACGGTGTCAAATCACAGAATCTTGGTGGCCAATTGGTTCGACTTTACCTCCCTTACTGTTTCTTGCGATAAAAAAGTGTATCTACAGTTATTTTTGCCTTTACTCAAAGGAGAATTAATGGAGTTCGTTTTAAATTGAGATAAGAAACGTACCAGCTTGAACTCTATGATCCTTCATGTCTTATTAAATGATTTTTTTTAATTAAACGAGGCTCAAGCATGAACTGAAACCTTCTTCCCTCGAGGAACTCACGTTCTAGTGAACCTGTAAAGCTACTTATAAAGCCTTTTGTGTGCATTTAAACCCATGCACTATCGTGTAAACGTATTTATATTAAACTTATCCAAGTGTAACACAATTGGAGATTTATTACAAAACGAAGCAGAAGACAAATTCTCGACCACAACAAGGCATGAAAGTGTGTAATTTTCCAATAAACAAACAAAAACGATGAGACGTTTGGCCGGACGGTCTATTCAAATTAGATAAAAGATCTCGAAGCAATTAAGTAAAAGTTAATAAGTTAACTAACTGGTGGAAAGTGGTGATGCGTTTCGATCTGTTTGATCTATTTGCAGTGAAAATGAAATTTGCGACGGCTGTAAAGTCTTTTTGTAACGGCAAATGTCGCTTACAACACGGATCTGGATTCTAATTTTAGGAAGTTGTGGTAGAATAATTTACAATGCATTTGTTTTAATCTAAAAAAGATGCAATATTATAATACTTACGTACCTAAAATTAATTCAAATTCAATAACACATCTTAGAAATCTCTCCGGTTATTAATGCATTCGGTTGAACTTGATTCGATGCGTTCGAGCCCATTTAAGCACCATCGCCGGACTGCGAAATGAGTTTTCTATTTTCTCCAGCCGAGTCGAGTCGTCGGGCAGTTTTCACCTGCCCGTCATATTAGGAAAAACATCGAAAACGCTTCTCGGAAGCGCTCAGAGACATCAATCTCACCTGCACCAGCACATGATCGCAGAAACCATGTCGTCGAAACGACGACCATCAGCGGCGTATCTTCGAATCCTCCTCTTATCGAGACTTTTTCCACGACGGAAATTTCTCTTCGACGAATAGTTGTCGCACACACACACACACACAAGTCCGAACCCTGACCTTCCCTACGCGCGGGCGATCGCACTCGAACGGGGTCAGTGTGTCGGGTGTGGCCCATCCGAGATATATCCGGACCCTTCGAGCCCCTCTTCTTCTGATCATGGGAACGAAATTTCGACAAAAAAACCGAATTCGAGCCGAGGCGCTGAACTCGAACACCCGTCTGGTACTCGAAAGAAAGTTCTCCCCAACGCCCAAGGCTAGTCCCAGGATCGGACCCGCGGGTTTCCCTCCTTTAGGTATCATTACAGGAAAATGTTACAAGACCTTCCCAAAGAATATTCTAGATATTAAGTCTACTACTTAATTAGGTCATTAGATTAGTACAGCCAATGTGGAGGTACATTATTACTAGCAGTATCCTTTTGTAACATGACTTTTGTAACATGCAACTTCTTCTTCCTTCAATAATAATCAAAAAACCTAACCCCATACATTAAATACTATGTTAGTTCATTAGATGTGTAGGTACACCCAATTGAAAGGTAGTACTTTTAGAACCTTTTAGAACCTTTAGAACCACCCTCTTCTTCCTCCCTCGAACCAGCAGGTTCCGATTCTGCGCTCGGCGCTCTTGAACTTGCACGGAATCTTCTCGCCGCTGGTCGGGCCGCTTCCACCGTCGGCGTCTTCTTCTCGTTCTTCGGCGGATCGTCATTCACGCGAAGACGCGACCGGTGCGAGGATGCGCGACAGCGGCGATCGTTTCAGACGCGAGCGGGCCACCCCGACGAGCCCGCGCCTCGTCCTGAGGCGGGTGATGGTGCTGGCCGAGGGGCGGCAGTTCCGCGAGGCCGCCGCCGTGCTGCAGAAGCTGGGACCCAACACGATTGCGGCGGTGGCCGGCGAGCTGCCCTTGGATCTGCTGGTCGAGGGCCTGCCGCACTCCGCTCAGTTGTTGGAGACCTTTTTTAATAAGTGAGTTTTTTTTTGGGTGGTTTTTTTTCTTCATCTTGTGGTGTGTGAGAGTGATTTAAGCACTTACTTACGTTAAGCACTTCCTTGAGTAAGTTAATGTTGTAAGTTGTAAGGGAAAATTGAAATTTTTGCTCGCGGATTTTCTGTAAAAATACACCCTGTGCACCAGAATTAGATAACTTGTGTCCCCTTATGAACCTTATTTAAATTACTAGAAATCATGACCTTGTTCCGAAGGCGCGATTTTTCCATATTTCGTACTTTCCTCGGCATTAATTATGAGTGTACAGTTTTATTTCATCGAGTTAATCACATTGGTAATTTTACCTAACTGTATCGCGTTTAATACAAACAGTTAAATTTATCGAAAAAGTTAAAGAGGTCGATCGGAACATCGATAATGCAATTAAGTTAATTATGAGCACATACGCATATACATTATGTCGATAAATTATTAGCTCCATTCGCAACTTATTTACACTTTATTAGATTGTATTATGCTGGTAAATTTCACCCCGTAAATACTATTAACAATTTTAAGCTAGCTGCAATTTAACTGTCACTTAACTATAAGTCTACTATTTACCTAAATTATCATTTAAGTGTCATTTAGCTAACTAACATTTAATGCAGGCAATTTACCATTAGAGGAGCATTTAAGTGAAACCTGCGTACAATTTGTGTCGAGTTATCCGCCTTGGTGCATAAAATCTCGACGATTCCGCACGAAACAAGAGACGTAGCCTCGAGAACGATTAATCTTATTAGCATTTTGTGTCGATAGATTATAGAAAACGCCGAGTTATTTATTGTATACGCATTTTATGGATTTACTTTCCTTCGAAGCGAAAAAAAACGGCCAGTGTTTCTTCTGATTCTTCGGCGGCAGATTGTGTTTAATTTTGACCTCGATATGTTAAACGGAATCACGTTTTTTTTCCGCACGGCCATGCTCGTGGGCTATAGGATATAGGTATTTGAAATCCGGCGAAAAAAAATTCGACGAGCGGCATCTGCTTTATTAATATCTAAAAAGAAGCCTCGGATGAGCAGTTGCTGCCATGAGAACCCAATTCAATTGATATAGGAAACCTACGATAATTGGTTGCATAACAAAGTTTATGTGAGTAAAATAGGCATAACGCATTGTTTAATGGCACTTCCGACGTTTTTATTATATTTATGCGTTTATTTTATATAACACATTTTATTGTTCCACACAATAAAATATTTCACTACCAAACTCGTTCCGAATAAATTCGATAAAAGTAGGAAGAAACCTATTCAACAGCGTTACAATTCCTCGGAACAATTCCATCATAATATGTAAGTGCGTTTGCAGTATCTCGGTAAAGTAATTTCATTGTTCAAAACTAGTTTTAATGAGGAGCGAACATCCTGCACGGATACTGACCCAATGGTTCTTTTGTTCTAGAAAATTGCCATAATCGCCTCGAGGAAAATTTTTGAACAACCTATCTGTTTGGTCGACGCTAAAAAAATGTAATAATAAAATTATCATTCATAAATACGGCCGAAAATGAGGCCAAAATGTGCCATTTTTTTACTTCAGAGGCGTAGGAGGACAAAATTCATGGAACCAATAGGTTATAAAAATTCAAAAACCGCTTAATTATGAGCACTTTAAAATTACAATTTAGAGAAAACTATAAAATAAATTAATGAATTATTTAACCAGATGTAAGCACAACTTCACTACATGTTTATTACAAGACACCTACGGCACTGTATTATAATAGTTATAAACAGATTACTATTATTTTTCTATCGGATTGCTCGGCTAATAATTTCAACTTTTAATTTTACCTAGCCGTAAGCCAAACCGATAATTTGAGCGTTCTCATGGTATAGTAAAAAAATTTGGTCAATTTATGTGGGCAAATGAAAGTTACACCTATTGAAATCAATCGAGCGCGATGAAAGAAAATTGGAAGGAACCGAGCGGTAATTCCCAGGAAGAGACGAGTTAATTAATCAAACATTCGGGATTGATATGTATTTTATTAGAAGGAGTTTCGTAACAATGACTTATTTAACGCTTATAGATTCGAGTTTTTGTTACATCTTCGTTGGCTCGGTTTTTGTTTAATTAGTAGCAATTCGTTGATCATAGATTAATTTCCATTCCGGTGTGAAAGTCGAAATGTGTGTCTCCCATGATACATATTTAACTATTGTTTATAAATTATTTAATTGCACCTTCCCACGGAATGTAATCTAAGCAAGCACTTCGCAGAGCATCCATTAAGCACAATTAATATGTAAAAAAGTCGGCTTACAATGGAAATTTTATTAGTTTTACGAGGTGCTTGCATTAAATACCACTCGACAATCTATCCACAAAATCCTGCTAAAACAGCATGAAAATTCGTCAAATTAAGCGAGTAATTAATTTCATTAACAAATCTAACGCTCGCCGGGGAAATCACGATTTTTTTAATTCCTCACGGTTCGACCTTTGACCCGGCGCACCGGACCATCACCATCGTGGGCTATTAACCCGAAAAGAAATGTCGTGCACAAAGTTTTCGGAACCTCCGGAGAAAGGAGACAGGTGCCAAAGATGCTCGCAATTAGCGATTAGATAATTGCGAAATTACACGCATTACGGGTTCAACACTCGTACAATTAATCGTAGAAATTGATTCTGGAAAAAAAATTGACGAGGAAACCACTTAAATGTGCGTTTCTACTCGGTGTTTATGCAACGAAGATTTATTAGAATTTTTTTTGGAGTAACCAAGAGAGTTTTTGATGAAGGTAATGTTCAAATTTATCGCGCGTTCGATATGCGATAAAAATTTTTGATAACCCATTTTCGATAAAAATTTTTGATCGACTTCTCTTTACGGCTGCAGGAAAATCCACAATAAAAATCGCAACGACCTCGTTCTAGCTCGCTCGATTTAATATATGCAACATTAGATTTTTCTGCATCATGAAAAGTGCATGCGAGCGCATTCGTTTTACCATTTTTATAAATCACCTGTCGCTTTGGAAATGGCGTTTTCTTGTCAACGGGATTTATTTAACTGTACTATTGTTGTTAGATACTATTGTTTTTAAAACGGTAATGGTAATGTAATTTCGTTTCTGCGGTAGAGAGCTAACGGAAATCTCGTAGGTACTTAACATAAAATGGATCCCTCGGTTTCGGTTTTGTCTGTTAATCTTAATCGGGGACACCCTGTAATATCTAGCCTGTGCATTTTTTTGTAATTTCTTCCAGGTTGATCGCATCAGACCAACGACCTAATATAAATGCAGAACAAGTTGTGTGGCAGTTGGTTAAATTATTAGCCTCTCACGATGACCCGACGCTCAAAACTAAAATTTCGAAATTATCCAAGGCACTTCTAGCCTACCAGCCTGATTTCCAAACCAAAATCTCATCCAGGAAGAAAGCCCTAGAACAAGCAATTCAAGGTATGTATACCAAGAATTAGTAACTTTTGATTTATTAATCATATACCATCAATTATGAGGAGATGTTATGTAGTAATTGGACAAGCAAAATGCTCCAACCTTTCAAACTTAACTTGACCTTGGTGATTCATAACATTTTCAATAGTTTGTTGTACAAACACAAACACAAACGCAACGTCTTCGTTTGCTCAAAAATAGAAAATCCAAACAATTTCCAACAAAGACATTAAACAAACAGCGATTTCCTAATTGTAAATTTCTCCTTTTATTTTTAAGTTTAGGTTGCGTGATGTTCACATTGTCGCTATATCTGATCAATACAGTTGACATAAAATATTCAACGGTTTTAATCGATCGCGAAAGAGAAAGTGCATTAATATGTCGGAGAAAAACGAAGAAAAAGAAAATGAAGAACAATGGGAAGATGTCGAGTGCTACGCCGACGCATCCACACCGGTTTCTTCTGCAGCAAAATTGATTTATCTACACGAGTAGTTCATTCGAATGTCTTGTATGGTAGATAATAAAAGAAATCGTTTGAAATATGCAAATGAACTTTAGTATAAGAAAAATCAATCTTTCTATTATAAACACTTTAATGAGTTACCATATTTAGTGGCGATATTGTTGATTTGTAGAATTTGATTCGTAACAAAAATTGAAAGAGCATTGATAATAACATAGTTTCACCTCATAATTGATTGAAATTGGATTTAATATCAGAGTAGTTTATTCTAATAATTTTTGTATCAAAAACGTGACTTACCGATTCCACCGGCCATTAATCGCTTTTACTTCTGAAATTAAACCGAAAATAAAACGAAAGTTTTATTACACAAACGCAAATATAAAACGCCGATGAGGAATTTCTATTATGTACTTTGAAACATAATTCGATATTTTATCGTTATGTTCGCAATGCGAATTGTTTTCCTCTCGCTTTATTTTTTACTATCATTGCAAATATTTCTTCCACTTTAAAAACAATAAAATTGACGGATAGGTTGCTAATGGCTTCAATTTTATTGTTACATTTTTCTGATGCTTGCGGTCGAAGAAAGTCTAGTAGAAAACTTTTCTCACAATATCTACTACAATGTTTATTAGAAATGTAATATAGGTACAGCACATGTTCATTACTTTGTTTCGTTTTTTAATTAATTTTGCCAGTACATAGAAGATGATATTTGGGTGTGATAAATTTATTGCAAGTTTGGAGTAGGTTCGGTTCATAAAAATAAATCATGTGCATAGCTTTCTAATTTTTCACATTGACAACGCTTTATTTATGTGCAATTCTAGCTGTAATTAAGGATTATTGTGAATTTACAGCAGTAAAAATGAGTTAATAAGGAATAGAAAGTAGATACTTCTGCTACTTTACATCAATAATGCATAAAATAATTTACCAATTTAAATTGGTCAATACATAATCGTCTACCTACATACATTGATACCTATGAAAAATATTAAGTTCAAAACATTATATGGCAATAAAATATGAAGTACGGTTAAAATCTCCGCTAAATTCCGAAGACAAATAACATTTTAAAATACCGTATTAACGTTACTGTTCATCTAACATCTAACACATGGTATTTATTGATTGATAACACACATATTGCATTACGTTACGTTTAATCCGTAATTATTACAGTATGATTCAATATCATATTTGAAATTTTACTAATTTTACTCAATCTTCAACTTAACGAAACATACAAGAAGTATATTATGACTCTTTAATACATATATCCGGATGCTCCGATTTCTTTGCAAGCTTGTAAAATTTGCTATGATTGAAAGTATGTACCTTCAAACGTGTGAATTTCACGAGTTAAAAATTAAGTATGTGTGTTAAAAGATTTACACGAACATATGACGTCCTAACGGACTAATGAACCGTAAAATAATCGAACCTGTTCATTTGCATCGTTACATTGCAACGTTACCCTTGACCGTGATCGGTGCATTCAAGGTTTAATAGAGAATTTTTGTGATTTTTAGATGTTTTGACGGAAAGTTATATCGAAAATTAAATGCTCCTCAATATGTGAATTTGCTTATTTATTTTCCATGCGAAATTCGAGTTAAAAAATGTGTGAAAATCGTTTTCCAAAAACGCTAAAAATTTAGTCCTTCTAGAATGCATTGCAAGTTCTCAGTTGCACTTAAAATTATTTATATTGGTGCTATTAAACATTGTGCAATATGGGGATATAGCTCAGTGGTAGAGCATTCGACTGCAGATCGAGAGGTCCCCGGTTCAAACCCGGGTGTCCCCTATTTTTTTCCACCCTTTTCCAAACATTTTACATTTTTTGCACTTAATCCCCCAGGCCTGGGTTGCCACGGCCTCACCACCGACGCCTCCGGCCTCACCGACCTCTATCACGCCCTCAAAACGGAGCTCCAGCTCCACGTCGACGTCTACAAAAGCGCCCTCCATCGACTGGACGAACTCAACCTCATATCGACCGACAACAAGAAACCTGTCGACGCTTCGCACCAACGCCTCCTCTCGCTCAAGCTCAAAGAGGTGCAACAGCGATTGATCGACAACAAGACGCTGCTCACCATCCTGGACAAGCCGGCGCTCAAACAGCTCGAAGTGCTCGTCGGGACGCTCTCCGACAGGGTGCAGAACGACAAGGAAGCGCTGTTCTGCGTATCGCAGCTCAAAAGGTACGGAATCCGATACCCAGGTGGCTCTATTTTTCTACCTTCTGGTAGATGAAAGGAGCTTTAATTATCCTCTTGTGCTATTCGATTAATATTAGTAGCTTTATCGAATGGCGATGGTTTTTTCTTGGGGAGGGATGTATGCACAACTTGGAGTTTGTTACCTTTGGATAGTCTGGATCAGATACCTCCTTCTGGGTTTTAGAATTTCCCCGTTTATATCCTCTTTTTTGCTTCTACGATTTGACTACTTCTTCCTTAGTTGACATCTTTTACTTGGGCTTTATTAATTTTTTTAACACTATCATCATCATTGCCTTCCACAACTTGATTTTCTTCCACTGAAATCCTCTTTTCCAGCTATGAATACTCAACTTTTAGCGATAACTTATAGTGATTTCCACAAGTCTCCAGTATTATGCTTGCACCTGCATCTTCTGGATATTATTACAAATTCCTGATCTTAGTGGAAATGTTTTAGGGACTCCTCTTTATCTAGGAATCAAATTTACATGGTTTCTGTGTTGTTAGGTTACAGTCTGTAGGTGATGATGTTCCTGTGGCGACGGTGTTGATGTCTTTCACCAGAGGATGCAGCGCTCTGCTGGATCTGATGCAAATTCCCCATAGTCCATGTCACAGCGACACGGGGTACCATTCAGAAACAGAAAACGAACAAGACCTGGGGTAAGTCGCTTTTAAATTCCTCCGAGTGATCTAACGAAAAGCTCTATCTTTTTTCTCTTAAATTTCGAGGCAATGAATAAATAACGCGATAAATAAATGCATGGATTTCGGCCTGTCAGTAGGAAACGGTTGACGTGGGACGATTAACAAGAAGGAAGCGCGGCGTTAAAGGCTAGAACATCTTAATTTTTAATGGGGCGCCGGCCCCCGTCTCTCCACTCGAAATCTAGGCACAAAGCGAGGGCTTCGCGTGTTGAAAGCAATTTGTGAATTTAGGTCGAAGAATATAGCGCGATAAACCTTTAAAGGTATACATGAAACTGATTATTTCTGAAGGATAAGGTAAATATAAACAACCCTTTATCGAGCTTTAAGCTGCTCCCGAACTGAAATCGAGTGGGCTGTCGATTCGCTGCATCTTCAAAGTGCGGATAATCTCGATAATCTTTCCGAACAGTCTGCCAGGAGCAAGCAGGAACAGTCAGGTTTACTATGTAATTGTTTATGGAAAGCAAATGAACTCGAAATGATTGGACGCTTATATGCTTGGATTAGTTTTACAGTGCTACCCAAAAGTCACTTACATATCATTTTTTTTATAGAAAGACGAAATAATTAATTGTGCTTAAAGGAATATAGTAGGTACTCTTCTCACATAAAAAAGAGTAGGTTTACTATATTTCAAATTTGGTTTCTCGTTTCAAACGGTTGGAAATGGGTGGGACTTTTGGCCAGCACTGTAAAAGAGCCCAGATTGTCCAGCCCAACTGTAGTTTACGACATCTTTCCGAAGGAAAAAATCGATATTTAGCGGCCGTTAGATATTATTTCCAGTCCATACGTCCCTTTATGGGACCGGAATTCCCGGATTGATGCGCCCTTTTCTTCGCTTCCTTCCGAGGAGTAATTTTAAAATTCGGTGCCGGGAAATCTGGAAAATGGAAAGTTGTTAAACAGCGATGCGGGATATTTACGGCCGTCCGCAATCGTAAAACATTTTCGCCATTCAGTCCTCATCGATTTTTGTTTGCTCTACAACATCCGTACAATTAGTTCATAAATCACATACCGTCAATTTTCCGATTCTGTTGTTCGGCGTATAAAAAACAAATTAGTTTTCATCCATCAAAACTCCCGTAATTTCCATATTTCTCTAATCAAATCCGGCGAACGGCGTCGGATAATGTGATGTGATAAAGCGTTGTTTATCGCGTTATTAATGATGCTATCTAGTATCTAGCGCTAGCTCGGATTGCTAATTGAGCTTAATTATCACCCGAGATGTTTCACCAGATGCGTCGCATGCTGGAAAATGCCTTACTCCGAAGAATATTCCACTAACATTTTATCATATTGAGAAGAAAAAATTGCAACATATAATTCTTTCTGATCTTTCTTGCATATTCCTCGAAAAATCTACTCCTGTTGCTCCATGAATCCTTTTAGCCAGCTTCGAGTTTTACTTACTTATCTACATCTACGTACCAATTTACCGCCCTTTTAACAACTCACTTTTGCCTTCGCACCCTCGAATGGCGCTTTCTACTTTCCACCCGAAAATTGCGGGGAATTTTCGGGGGAAGATAAACGGGTTATGAGGTCATGAGGAAATCACAATCGCGTTTCTCTTTATTAAATGATGCGTATTCGAGTGCGCTTCGATCGGAAGCGAACTCCCTAAGGGGTAGATGGTAAAAAGTAACGCAGCGGCGGTCCGAAGGTTTTCCATAGAAAAAAAGTCGTTGCTTAGGATTTTTGAGTGGTATCAAAGAGGCGAGTTTCCGGGGACTCCCCGGCGATCGGTTACAATTTTCTCCGCGGAGACGTCGAGTACGGGATGAAAAGTCGACAATGAAATGAAATAGAAGTTGCCAGACAAAGGGTTTTCTTTCGCGGGGCTGGTATAATTTTTAGCCCGGTTTGCAGGAGTTGCTTGTTATCGTTGGAAGATAACGAGCTCACCTTCAGTACTTACGTGCGAGTATATTTTATATAAGTTCATCGATTTTATCAACTACATTTGCACCAATTTTGTAGATACCTAAAAAAAACTTCGTCGCCATCCACTGGACACGATATATTGCTTCCTGCTAAGCTGTTGGTGTTTTGGAAGTAAATTTCGAAATAAAAATTCTTAGTTATGGTGGATATTTTCATTTTCACTTATAGAAACTAACAGGTAAAATACAACGTTTTATCTGGAGGCCTTACCCCTGGAGTGCAATATCGGAAAATTATGTGTCCGGATGCTGCCGTATCTTATCCCGTTTAATAGGTTTCGTTTGCCAATTTCTTTTGGAATTCTCCGACTTTCAAGACATTATACTCTGAAACTATGAAAATGTAAACCAGGAGTCAGGAAAAAATTAAACTAGGAAGACACATAGTTGTTAAGTTTTGATTTACATATACAATGTTCTGGAATCCATATAATCTTTGGGTCTCGCGTATATTCTGTTTGTAGTTGAACTTTGTCGAAAATTGTTAATTTAGCTCGAACTGCGGTAATTATGCGTATTCCGAACGATGTTATTAAACAAAATAGCAAAGTCAGGCGCGCCCTGTCGGGGTTGCTGAACTGAATTGTTAATTGTACCATTAATTTCCATAAGAGTAATCGATATTAGGTACGTTTCTTTTCGTCCGGCTGTGGCGGGATAATTTATTCGCCGAATATCCGTAAAGAACGAGACACTTTGTAGTTATTCCCCGATAATTTTTTCGAATGGAAGACCGAATGCTTAAAATTGCTTTTGTCGACGACAGTTCTAACGTATTGGAAAGTAAATTTATCGGGTGCAACTCTTCGTGTTGCCGGATGGAAACGGTTTTAGATAGAGCTCGGAGATTCTTCTTCCGATTTCAGGGCGGCATTCGGAAAATATTCGAGCGCTTCCGACCGATCCTTTTATTTTTAGTAGGTGTGTTTGATCAACTTTCGCCAATGTCTCGGGTTTCTAGCACCGATTTGCGTAAAAAACGAGAAGCGAGCGATCGTCGAAGTAAATAAATCCGAGCTATTCATTGGTTTAGGCCCGAAATCCGACCCTTGTCGGGAAGAATCATCTCCAAATTCGCTATATTTATATCGGTTCGCCGTTCTCCATTCGGAATATTTATTTCAATCAATACGTTGCCTATCGTGGAAATTTTAAATCGAACGCGAGATACATCTTTGTAGATTGGAGCGATTTCGAATCGTTTTCTATACATTGTTTACCTATGGGAAATGTCGGGATTTTCCGAATGTTTCCATTTCATTTAAGCGTTACGATTTACAACCCTCGAATGATAAATTGTATTTTCCAATCGCTTCGTATCAGTTTAGGAATCGTATAATTCGCTCGTCCTTTTTTTAATATACGGTAAACAATAGTTTGTGTGCCAAACAGCTCTATTCTCTGAATGGAAGAGTAAACAGTGGGGCTTTCACCTGATGCTAGTCGCCCAAACATTCAAAACACCAGGCTTCTGTCGCGTTACAACTTCGACCTACTTCTACATCTATTCGAAAACATCCCGTAAAAGTTGTCGAAAACAATGCTCAAATTCGCATGGTCACAAAGCAAGAGTAAATTGTATTAAAAAACCGGACAAATCGACGCTTATTATGAACACGTCAAGTACATCCGAGCTGAAAGGAGGAAATTCTATTTAGAGTAGTACGAATGCAATTCTCAGGCTTTTTGAAAAGTTTTCGGGTCGCCGCTCGCAGTTTTCCTATCCTTTCGATATTACCCATCTCTGCGTTCGCCGTCTCTTTTCCCCAGTTTTCCAGCGGCGTATCCGTAAATAACAACCTGCTCCTCTATCACCACCTCGACTATATAAGCTCCTCTAAAACTAATTCGTATTGACTTAGCATCGAGTCGATCTTATTACAGCCGAGTTAATGTGTTTGTCTAATGTTTGCAGGAAGGATGTCGTAAGCAGATACGAGTCGCTCTACCGCCAATGCAGGCCCAAGGCACTCGAGGCTCTGAATTCGATGCCAGACTTGATGCACGCCACGCAGCTCAAATCGAAAATTTTATTTTCAGTCGTCGTGGTAAGTTTTTATTGGTTTTTCCCGACCTTGTTTCGCCATGAAACGAAGCAGAAGCTTCTTGACGAGCGGCTCTGGTTAATTTCCTGTGTAAAATCAAAACATCGGTATCGATCGATTCGATAAATAGCGCGATGTTTTTTTCGTAAAAGAGTGCATGCATGTATCTTCGGCGGTTTTCCCATTACAGTGGTTGCCGGTTTCGTTCCTACACCTCGTTTGTATACATATTGTCCCGAATGCATGGAATACCGTGGAAAAATTTGAATAACCCGATTTCGTATGAAAATCCAAAACGGGAAACGGCGCATTCTACAATTTCTTCAAACCGTCTTTCACGACTCACTTTTCTCCTTTCTCCCGTTTTCCCAGTTTTCCCAATTGTACCTGATGCCCGCCGTAAATTTGATGGGGGAATATAAAATGTTTCGCGAAACATTCGAGGAGTTTTTTTGTTCGGAAAATACGACGAAATCAGGAAATTTAATTTTCCCTAACTTACCTGCCTTTGTTTTACGATGATGCTTCAGGTGCTTACTTTTAATGCACTATAATTTACGTTAGAACGAGTTAATAACTCGGAGTTTTTTACGTCCCGGCTCGATCGTATACCGACTGTCCCGGTTAAAAGTGTCGCCGGAATTTTCGTGTCAAAACATTCACCTGTCACGCCGCGAGTATAAAAATAATTTATAGAGACTCGCATCATCGCAAGCCCGGCCGAAAGAAACACGTCCTAGCTGGAGAACTTTCTCTTTATGTGTATACACATACGTATACGCTCGGCGTTCCCTCACGTACGTCATCTACCATTTATCTTAGCGCATTAACTCTATAAAATGTTTTCTAAAAGTGTTTTCGAGTAACCCTAAGTGCGCCATTTTCCACTCGACATAAGCTCCAGAAAGAGTCTTTCGGAGGTTCACAATTTCAATACAGAAGTACCAACTAATCAGGAATTATTCTCATCATCTCCACTACGCAGCTCGCTTTCATAGATTTCAATACAATAGTAACCTCCAACTAATCAGGATTCTCGTCGTTTTCAGCTCGCTTTCAGGACGTGCAAAACGCTGCGCGACCACAAACTCCTGCAGACCTTCCGGACTCTCCACCTGGACCACCGCTCCTCCAAGAACTCGTCGCTGCACAAGGAGGTGATGCGCTGCTTGGCCTCGTCGGAGGAGTTTCCGCTGCACGAGGCCGAGCACCAGGTGCTGAGCTTGGTGTGCGACACGCTGAAGGAGTACAGATGCTTGGAGGGGTGCCTCGAGCTCAGGAGATACGTCGGCGAGGCCACCAAAATCGCTTGGGTGATGGTGTGTCAGGTGCCTCCTTACGAACTGGATACCGGTAATTTCCTTTCTAATTTAATTTTTGGGTGCTGTTTAAGGGGACTTTAAGGGTAGTTTTCCACAAGTATGTAGTCCTAAGAGTAGGATAATGTTTTATATAACTTCCAATAATAAAATTAATGTTGTTTATTGTTTTATAGACTTTCAAACTCCGGTAAGACTGCAACCAGAAAAGCACCAGCGCCACCACAGCTCCGATAGGAATAGTGACATCATTAGGGCGTTCTTGTGGCCTGCGTTAATTCTGGAATCGAGTTGTGTACACAAGGCGATTGTTATTACAGATGGTACTTGATTGAGCCGGACAAATAATTTCGCTTTCGTTGGTTTAGTGTCAATACAACGTGTCATTGTTTTATAGTTTTTTTCTCTTTATGTTAGTATTTGTATATAGGATCGATGATGGACGATGGGGAATGTATAGGATGATATTTTTGATGAAAATTAACAGGATTACTAACAAGTTTCTATGTGTAGAATTTTGAAAATTGGTACTCACATATAGTTTTATTAGTATCCTAAAAAACGATTGCTCATACTATTATTTCATACTGAATTTAAGGTTGTGTTGCGAACGTTTTAACACCTACCAGTATTTTTCTAATTGAATTGTTTATCAAATAAAAAAATCCATTAAATCAATTGCACTGAAAATGACTTTTCACAAATATTAAATAAGTGTGACTTTTTCTAATGTTATTTGCAGGTTTGTTATTGTAAGATTGTTTTAATGTATATTTTTATAATGAATGTATAATAATATTTGACTAATACTATTATCAAAAATGTTTGATTTAAAAGTATTGATGTTTGTTGGTAATATTTAAAATAATATGATTAGGTACATAAATTTCTTCGCGAATAGTAGTAACATGCTAGATGTAAAATAAATATCTTATTTATTGTATATGGGTTCTTGAATAAAATAAATGAATTTTCTTAGGTATTTAGCAAATTTTAAACGTCTAATATAATAATTGTTATTATTAGCGTTAGTACTTAAACAATTATTTATAATTTCTAGCTTTTAAGTAGATAACTACTTAATTTTCGTATATTGTATAAAATAAGCTCAAATGAAAAATAGTTGAAATTCTTTTATATCTATTTCCTTGTAATCATTCAACATATTAACATTACTTAATACGAGTGGCGGATATTATTTGAAATATCAATTTTACTCTTCCTGTTCACATCCTGTACATATGTAAGCCATTGATAATTGTTGATAAGATAGAATGGTCTTGGCAACCGAAAAATCCAACAATTTACTACTTCATTTTTCACTTACATCTCGGATTCTTGCCAAATATTATCGTCTCCGAATAAATCGAGCAGAAGAAGAAATTACCGATAAACGATTACAAATTACGAACGGCAGCGGAAACTGTTCGTATTTTTTTAAATTTTAAACGTAATCCGGTTGGTTTTATCAACATTCGAAATGCACATCCTATTTACGTCATTAGCGGTGTCTTATCAGGAGCTTAGTTTTAGAAAACCACTTTACCTGATATTTTGCGAACCGATATATTTCGATTCGGGAACTTAAAGTAAAAGCTCTTAAAGCATCGCTCAATATTTATTTGATTTTTCATTTTAAGTGGTTGTAATGTGGAACTAATGATCAGTAATTATGGAATGAATTGTAAAAAAATTCAATTATTAAAATGTTCTGTTTTGTATAAAAATAACTAAATTAAAACAATAAAATGGTTTCCAATCATTAATGAAAGGTTTAGTAACTTATTGGTAAAAATATAAAAGAAAATTAATATTTTTGATTGCTTCAGTTTCATTAAAAAAGAAGTTTATTGCACAATCTAAGACGGTCCTGATAAATTCAAAATTCTTCTTCTTTTTCTTCAAAGCCTCGTAGCTAAGACTACGCAGCTACCAAAAAGCCTTAATATTTTTACGTATAACCGGCCCGCTTGATGCGTCGATTTTGCGTAACGGCGGCGCCAGTGTAGCAGCCTCCGTTCATCTCTGTTCAAACCGTTCGCTCCCCGTCATTAGCCAGCGAGACAGAGAACAGGCCGAGCGCGCGGTGGAGCTCATGAGCAAAGAAAACGCGTGTGCCTCGTCGTGCCGATCGGGGAAGGCTGGTGTAAAATCCGCAGAGCGAAATAGTGGCCGTGCGTCCGTTCAGTCTTCGCGAAAGGGTGCAGAGCGCGTACAGGGTAGCTTCAAGACACACCCCACAATGTCGAGAGCGGCGTTGAGATGAACGGCTTGCGCGCTTCCACGTTAATACGGATGCGAATCTAGCGTGCCGTGGTAACCCGTAGACACTGACAGTTGGAGTTTTACCGACCGAGGGTGCGGATTATTTAAACGTTTATCGGTTGGTAACAAGTGCATTTATATTTGAGGACTGGCCAAGAGGACGTTGTATTCGGTGTAATTTTTCCACATTCTGTGTTAAGTTTATTTAATGGAAACGGGTCGTCGTTGGCCCGATTTTGCGGGTATCATCAACGTTCAAGCTGGAACTCATGGAATTAGAAAATATAGTCGCGAATACCGTGTATCTAAAGGCGAGAGAGGGTAAGATAACCTAAAAATTCGATTTCGCCGACACATTATCGACGCCGTTTGTTTTGATGTTTTTAGGTGGCTCCGATAGTAACAAGGGTAAAAGCAAAAAGTGGAGGAAAATCTTGCAGTTTCCGCATATTTCGCAGTGTATCGACCTGATCAACAAAATAGGCAAGTAGATTCCTTTACGCTTATTATCTAAATACCGTTTTATTTTCGATCTGTTCATTGTAATCGTTTTTATTATCTTTACGCTTGAAGACTTTAACCCGCTCCAATTGAGGTTAGATCTTACTTTAAATGTTTATTTATTTAACATTGATTAAAATGTTTACAAAACATATAAATTGTTTAGATACAGGGTTATTCACTTTACGTCAAACATGAATTATTTTTGACAATTGACAAATGGTCTTTTACTTACCGAGTGTTTCTATTTTTTATTAACCCCTAAAGAGTAGGTAACTCAATATACATCTAAAATACTTATGCATCATTTATTTAATATTAAATATGCATGTTTATGTGCGATTGCGATATTTAGATCCTTCCTATATAGGTAATAATTATTTTTTCTTTAGCACGTATTTACTTTATACCTTTTAAAAATATAGCGATATAATATTGGTTATTTAGGTAAATAAATTAATGAAATCCGCGAATAATCTCACTGGTTTTATGGCCATTTGCCAAAGTTGAAATTGATCTTGTTTTTGCACAAGCTATATATTTTAATTGGTACTACTAATAGATTTTCGTAAACAATTAATCCACGCCAATTAACAATACTAAAAAAAGTACCTGCTACTATGGGAACTATTATTTTTATTTAAGATAACTGTGGGATATTAAAGCATTCTTTGCGATTTTTATATGATGCATTTTTGCATATTTTTGCAACGCGCTACTCATCTTCTCTCCTTTCCTATCATGTGTGAAATATTTTTATTTGCTAAGCAATTATTTACCTTGTATGTGAAAACGTATTTGCTCGATTGTTTGTTTTTCCTGATGCACCGCACTCGATTAATTCGATAAGTATCTAATGCTCCTACTAAACAATTTTTACCTACCTACTCAACAATCTCTCGCAACTGGAATTAAGCGTATATGCTCGATTAATTCGGAAAACAAATTTATGAATAAATTTACGATTGTACGCCGCAGATTAAATAAAAATTGCGTAGATATAGATGTTATTATAAAATATGTAAGTAAATATTATTTTCATTGTAACGCGAGCGAAACTAAAACCAGGAAATATAATTTAAAACCTTGCAGTATAATATGGATGATGGAGAGGATGTATTTTCGTAGACATTTTTTATCGATAATTAATTACTGCGATAATAAACATTCCTGTTGCAAGTATACGAGCGTTATTGCAGGCAAATAATTTGCACTTTGAAATTCCATTAAATAACCAATAATGAAGCTGTATATGTATAGCTCGAATTATACATGACAATTTACACTAAATTTCACACTAAAATTAATAGAAACACCAATGATATTGACAACATTTTATGAAATTAACCCATATTTACACAAATAATCCCTTTCACTTCGATTTTAACCGAAATTACCACAGCTTTAGTACTTTTGGTAGATATTTTGGTACGAAATGTACTAAATATTACGTACAACGGACAGGCATAAATTCGACTGACTGGCCTTTTGGGAATAATTTGCGGCGTGTATTACTCCTGTAATAAATGATTCTGGAAACATTAGATTAATTATAGCAGTAGGTATCTAAAAATATCGTCAGTGTTCACAAATTCCCCGATCAAATTCGAGCATATTAAATAAAATATATCCCTCACATAAAACCGCGCAATTATGATAATAAGAGAAGGCTATTTAAAAACGCCCGTTGGCGGAAAATGGAAAATCGCGACGATAAAAATTCGTTTTTATGGCGAATTCACTTATCCGCTTCTATTATGTCCGGTATCGGCGCGTAAGTTTTACAACGCGTTTAATTCGACTTTCAAACTCGATCCTAATGCATTTTCGTGGGTGTCATATAAATTTTATTGCACATTAAAAATTGACGGGTGTGCGCAGTTCCCGACAGAGATTGATCTGTCGTTAATTCGATTGTGAATTTCGAACACAAAAAAATAGCAGAGTATACATATAGGTGTATCCGAAACTACGCGCGCACATCAATCTTTTTTTATAATTTAATTAGCACCTCGTTATGTTTCTTCGAACATAATTGGCGGGTTCGATTGGTCAAATTGTGTTAAAATCGTGATAGAAAGTTTGGAGGAAATAGGTTGGAATTAAATAAACAAGTGGACCAAGGTGTTTAAACTCAATTACTATAATTATACCTACATGTATATACGGGGTGTTTCATAATTTATTGATAGTTATCTAATATATTCCATTAATTTTCAGACGAGCCCTGCAAAGGTAGGTGATATTGACAATTTAATCATATGTCCCTACAGTACATTATTTCGTTAATTAATTAACTACTTAATTAATTGGGATATTTAAATGGAACATTTTTACATGAACGGGGTAAGGGACAATGAAATTCACCATTTGTATGTAGATTCGCTCCGGCAAAACCCGAGTTAAGCTAAAAAGAGGAAAAGTTATTACAACTACAATTAAATTTACAATTTACATTGAAATGATTACAATTAAACGAGCTTATTTGCCTTGAATTACTTCCATTGAGGAATGTTGCGCATCATTTAATTGTGATTGAACGAAATGTATCATTTTAATTCACATACGAGTAGGCTCATGTTTTATTCAAGATTATGTTTAACTACTGGTAGATCTTAGGAAATAATTAATTATCTATATAGAAATTTAATCTACGAAAATATTGTGTTAAGTGTAAGTTAAGTGGAACACCTTGTATCAATTTAAAACGTTTTTAACCGTTCAAAAATATTAATGACTATAAAATTAGAAATTGATGGGCATTTAAAAGCAAAAAAACGGAAGCATTTTAGCGGCTGTGACCTTAATTATTGAAGAAAACTGCATCGCGGCCTAATGATTCGGAAATTAAAATCGAAGCTTAATTAGTGGAAAGTCGCCCGTCGGTGTCGCTCAAAGGTGACAACTTTATCAAAGAATTATCGACTATCTAATGATTTATTCACGAAATTATATCATTGCCGTTACGTCTGTAGTAGGTATACAATCGCATTTTTTTGGTCACATTTCCACTTATCATACAATGGAACGGCCGGTCGACTTATGTAGAATATATCCTACGACACATTGACTCACCGTGTATATTTTTAGATTCGAGTATTTTTATCGGCGCGCTATTGAAAATTACGAATTGAAATATCATTGACATCGAAAAACAAAAACTCGCCTTACAAAATTCGCGTATACCTTTTGATTAAGTAAGAGGCGGTGACGTACATAAATAAACAAAACCAAACGACAAGGTCAGTCTTTCTGTTTTGATCGTTAAATAATTATCGCAGCATAATTAAGTACAACAATTTCAACACACGCTGCGCATTTTATCCATCAATTCGACATAAACATTTTCGACAATATACACTTCCACCCTGTACAGTTAGAGTTTACATACGAATCAGTTGTAGAATTGCATCTGATTATTCGATTATTTCGGCCAGCATTTCGAGCACTTGGGCGATAATGAATGCCCGTTCAATATTTAAATTAGATCGTCGAGGCCGTTTCGAAGCGCCGTTAATGAAGACTAACGCAAAAGGTCTTCATTAAAACGCGTCCGCCATTTCGGAGGGCGGTTATCGCGCCCCATCCGGTGTCCGTTCACGTTCGGAGCTTTGGCGGGTAAACGGACCCGACGTTTTCGCAGTGTTAAGCCAATAAGCTTAATTGCCAGTTTCCGAAGCCGGTCCTGCACTCGGGCGAACGAGACGCGAGATAAGGTGGCCGGTTTAAATTTGATTACACAGCGTCCGGTTAATTCGTTAAATGCCTTATCAGAGGATACGCCTATTTCTTTTTGAAAATTTACCCACAGGAATCACCCTGTAAAATACCTTTCTATAAAACTCGCAATATTTTATACCACTGTACAAAATTTTCATTGTAAGTACATATTGAATTAATTATTCAGCGTTTAATTTATTAAATATTAACTCTTTTTTTTTACATTTCACGCGCCAGTAAAATACCAAATTTTAGTATAACTTATCTAATTAATTTTAACATCAACATATACATTATTACCTAAGCAACTAGCAACCTATTTACTATAATAATAGATTTTTTTTAACAATTTAATTATGCCAACATAGAATATTATTTTTATACGACGAACGTAACTCATAAAAAATATTTATGTTAATTGAGCGATACTTTTAGAACTTATTTCGTACATTCGACGTATTAACTCGTTAATTATTTTTATTTATTGCATGTAAAAAATTGACAACTTGACGTACTTACATATTGATTTATAGCAAGCAATTTTAAATAAATACAAATAAATATATACTTATTTAATGTATTTTAAGTGCAATTATGTAAGATAGATATTATTTACTAGGTTTTATCTACCGCGCCCTGTTTAAGTAGCAAATATATTTGTTCTATCTATTTTATTTTGTAAGTACTTAGACTAATTAGATTTTAAATAAATTAGGAGTTAAGTTTAATTAGGGTCTGTAAATCTGAGACAATAGGCGAAACTGACGAAAAGACATCATAAAGTACGTTTCAATTCATAAACTTTTGTATTGTAATTGCCGACTTTACGGGATTCTCGCGATAAAATCTTAAATTCCAGCAATTTCGTATTTTTAAAATCCATCAGATTTTTAATTGTTATAGCATTAATTGAGACAATCCGAAGGTATTAAACACAAATCAGTGTCGCTATAATAGCCGCATTATAACGTAATTCCGGAATATTTTTTAACGATTAATTCGATTAGAATAATGTTAGTTTTATATTTTCGTAAAAAACAATTTGCGTCAGCGACAAATTGGATATTAATGATTTCGTTATAAAGACGCGTAATTTACGACCTATTCAACGCATCGCCCTGTATATAGAAACTCCTTCCCGTCGCTCTGCCTTGAACTCGAAACAAACCGGACGGATCCCTCGGGATTCTTTCCAGTAATCACCGGCTCCTGCGCTTCCTTAACCCCATATATACCCGATCCGACCCTCGCAGGACGGTCAT